ACTGAACTGTGCATGTAGAAATTTTTAAAATGGTGTATCTTTGGCTATGTATATTTTCACCAAAAAAAAAAAAAAAGGTCAAGAAGGGAGAGGGTTGACATGTTGTGGGGTTGTTACCCAATGTCATAAAACAGTATGTGTACTACTGTTTCATGAGAAATATTTGTTCTATAAGACTTCACCTGAAGTACAATTAAAAAAAAAAGAAAAATAACATGTTTATAATGTCTTTTGGGCTATAAAGACTGTTACTTAGCAGCAAACATTTTTAGCCATCTCTTTTTCCTCAAAACAGACTCATCTTCCATGTTAAAGGAATGTTTCCCGGTAAACGTTTCATGACTGACTGTTAATAAGTGACACTACCCTTTATCTGGTATCTTCACAGACTAGCTTCATATTGACAGAAGCAAATAAAACGCCCACCAAAACACATCCAGACAGAAAGGCCTGGATACGAATAAGGGCAGTGATTCACTATCCAATATTCTCATGAACGCTAACAAAATAGTGAAGAGAAAAAAAGAGGCTGAAGTTATTTGATGCTCTTGCTTGTCTTCTTTTTATTGTTAAAAATGACACGATTCCTTTAGCCTTTGGATATTAATTGACTTGTAACACAGTATTAATAGTTGCAACTCCTCCATATTATTCCTAGCTAAAACAGCATTCACTAATATCCCTAATTTAACAACAACAATTGTGCTAGAGACTTGGTGGCAATATGATGTACAAACACTGCTGCAAAAGCCAATTACTCCATCCTCCCCAAATCAGGAGTACTTAATGAGCACTTCGTTAATAACTAAATGGCATATTGTAAAGCACACAAAATAAGTTAATCGATAATGGCATTAAGTTTAGCCAATATTCAATAATAAATTTCTTTGAAGTTTATTAAAGGGTTTAAGTGAGACGTGTATATAATAAATGTTTAAAAAATCACTTCTTTCAGGAAGCTAAGGTTAGAGTTTCCTTATTTATCTGTACTTTGTCTTTAAATCAAGAAGGAAAAAGAAACAGATCAGATGATGAATTACTAAAGAAAGAGAATACCTTATCAGAGACTGTTGCAAAATTAAAATGCGGCTCATACAGATGGGGTGCTAAAGATGACGCAGTCTGTAATAGTGCCCTTGCCTGTTGAAAAAGAAAAGTCAAAGACGTATAAGCATTTATCAGCACTGCATTTGTGATTTTTTTTTTTTTTGGCAAAAGAATCCTTTCTTAGGATATTAACATGATCTTGTGATAAATACAGATAACATTCATCATGAAATACAATGATTTACTGATACACAATTAATGACATATCTTTTCCAAATGATGTTAATTATAAAATGCTTCACAAGACAGAGAAAATAAGAGAATTGAAAATTTAGATTTAAAGTTATTTGTAAAGTTTAGATTTTAATATCTGTTCTTATAAAATTTGGATTTCAATAATATATACAACTCAAAATATGATCCTCTCAATGCTTTTTCAAAAGGCCTTTTTAATCTAGTTTTTGTTGCTGCTGGTTGATTTAGTAGGTTCTTAATTACTTGTCTTCTGATGTAACAAAAACTATATTAATTTTCAAAACCCTGAGTTCTGTGCTGCATGAGCAAGTAACATTTGTTATTATACTGCTGACCAGTTTTCTGAAAATGACAAGCTTTCTGTTAAAGTACTCAAAAAACACAAATCATAGCATTTTTTGTCCCATAGAGGCTCAAAGGAGACCACTGAGAGGCGAGATGCTCTTGCATGCATTGTTCAGACCACAAAACTCAGCGTTCACACTGGCTGAGCGACCCTCCATTTTGTAAGTAAACCCAAAGCCTCTGTGACAAATTCATGTACCTTGAAGACAAAATGATATCAGTTCACATAGAATGGCAGATATTGATTTTTAATAATAAAATGAGGTTAGTATGATGAAACATTTTACCAAAACATTTAAAATCAATAGTATACTAGGTAATCTACAATAAGGAGGAAGGACAGAAAGTCACCAATATGGAAACAGAGAAAATTACAAGAAGCACTTTCACGAGAGACAAATTATCATTTTCCAACAGTTAGTTTCTGTTTATAAAATACAAATCCATCTTATTTACTTTTGGGACATCTATGAAATAAAGGCAATATCCAATGACATTTCTTCCTTGTTTTATTAAAAGTTTATCATTGTGCTTAGGAGACCAGGCTAGAGGTTAAATTCCTAGCTTGCTGCTCACTATGTCTGTGACCTTGGATAGAGTTATTGCCGCATTTTTACAGAAATAACGTGCACCTTCTACATTTGCCAACCGCACCCTCCCCAGGAAGTTATTTTTGTAAGCACAGCTATGCTGGTTTTTTCTTTTTACATGTTGCTGTAAAAAAAATAGCATAGTGCACTTATGAAAATAACCTCATAGGGGAGGGCGTGGCTGGCAAACAAACACAGAAGCAGTGCATTATTTGCGTAAAAATATGGCACCCTCCCCAAGTCTCAGTTTCTTCATCTCTAAACTGGGGAATGTAATAATATCTACCTTTGACTACTATTAATATTGTATAAATATATTTAGCATTTTAAACTTTTTGTTATATGCAATAATAATAATGCAATTTATTAAGCACCTACCATGTGCTCAATTCTATGCTTTTACTATGCCAGCAGTCTTCATAAAAACACCCTCAGGTTAGTACTATTATTACCCTATTTTATATATCATCCATTCATTCCACAAATATTTACTGAGCACATCCCATGCACTATGCACTGTTTTTGATGCTGAGAATATAGCAGTTGTAACACAGATAATGTTCCTGCTTTCATACAGCTGACATTCCAAATTCTACAAATAAAAATAAAAGTATCGGATAAAATGATAAGAACCGAGACGAAAAAGCACTGGGAGGTGTAACTGTGTCTGAGGGCTCCTTTAGACTGAAGTACGAGATGGTCTTTCTAAGGAGGTGGCATTTAAGCTGAGCCCTGAATGACAAAAGGAAACTTTTGCAAGATCTGAAGAAGAACATTCTAAAGGCCCTAAAGTAAGAATGAGGATCGAATATCTGTGGAACAGCAAGGAAGCTACAGTGTCTGGAAGTGGGTGGGAAAGGAGTGGCAGAAGATGCAGTCTGAGGGGAAGCCAGAGGCCACAGGATGTGGGGCCTTGTAGGCTATGTTTGAAGTCCAGATTTTATTCCAAGTGTAAAGAGAAGCCATTGGAGGATATTAAGCAAAGCAGTAGTAAGAAAATCTTACTTGAAATAATCCTTCTGGCTGCTCTGTGGGGATGTATTATAGGGGGCAGAAGTGGAAACAAAAGGACCAGCTAGGAGGCTCAGGCAAGAAATGATGGCGATCTGGGTAGGGGTGGTGAGAGTAGAGAAAAGTGGCCAGGTTCAAGGCGTGGCTTGGAGGTAGAACTGACAGGGCTTGTGGATGATGGAATGAGCCCTCATGGTGCAGTGGGTAAAGAGCTTGGCTCCCACCAGCTGCTCTGAGGGAGAAATATGTGGCAGTCTGCTTCTGTAAAGATTACAGCCTTGGAAACCCTATGGGGCAGTTCTACTCTGTCCTGTAGGGTCACTATGAGATGGAATCAACTTGATAGCAATGAGTTTAACTGGTGGATGATGATGGGAGAGGAGGGAGGGGGAAAGGCAGTAGGAAAAGAAAAAGCTTCAAGGGTGGCTCCTAGAGTTTTGGCTTGAGCAACCAGATGATGGATGGGAGATAGTGAACGGTGGGACGGTTTACTAAGATAGGGAAGACTGGGGAAGAGCAGATTTGTCATAACAAAGTCAAGTATTCTATTTTAGACTCAGAAAAGTTAAGTAACTGGTCCAAGATCACATAGCTAGGAAGTGACAGGGCTGAGATTCAAATGCAGGCCTGTCAGACTCTAGAGCTCATTTTCAAATTACAGCATATAATGACAGTCACAGATGATAGCTTTTCTCTGAAGAAAGCAAATAGTCCTCTGTCCTTCAGCAGCTCACTGACCTGTTCCAGGTGGCCCTTCCGCATCTCCAGCACGGCCAGGTTGTTGTAGGCCTCGGCGTGGTTGTTGTTGTTGACCAGAGCCAGCCTGAAGCACTGATGGGCCAAATTCATATCTCCTATTCCCTACGAAACAAAAGCACATGTTCACACACGTGAATCACACTCTCCCTCCTGCCATCTCCTCCCTTCTTTCCTCATGTACAGCCCTCCCTTGGTATCCCTGCGGGATTGGTTCTAGGACTCTGGTGGATACCAAAATCCAAGGATGTTCAAGTCCGTTACAGAAAATGGCATAGTATTTGCATATAACCTACACATACCCTCCCATGTACTTTAAATTGTCTCTAGATTACTTATAATACCTAATACAATGTAAATGTTATGTAAATACTTGTTATACTGTATTGTTTAGTGACTAATGGCCAGATGCGAGGTAAACAATGCTCAGTGAGTGCTGGAGAGGGACTGAGGATGTGTGAAATGGCGGGAGGCTACAGCCGGGTATCTCTACACATCACTTCATTCTCATGGATTCAGTGTAGTGCTCGGTGCGCAGTAAATTCAAGTTTTGCTTTTTGGAACTTTTTCTTTCCCTTTTCAGTTCGCAGATGTGGAACACACAGATACAGAGGACCATGGATACAGAGGGTCAACTGTATATCTTTTCCTTTACTGAAGAAAAAGCAACAAGTAGTGATCATAGGAGTTAGGTGTGAATTCCCTCTAAGGGGATTTAACTTGGGAATATAAAATGAGTTATGACAACTGCTAGAAACTTCTAAATTGCTATGTGTGATTATAATCAAACCTGAATTTACAACACTTGAAAATTTCTTCAAACTAATTTATGGCTATCTTTTCTATAAAAGAAATTAGAGAAACAACATACCACAGCTACATGTCCTAAATTGTACCAGACATCAGCTATCTCTTCTTCATTTTCAGCCAGAGAAAGGGCACGTTCAAATGAGGTCAGAGTCATATCATACTGCTGGGCATAGAAGCAACAGAGACCCAGATTGTTAAAAAGCTGGCAGTTATAAACACCCATCTGCAGAAGCCGCCTTTGTGAAAAAGCATACACAAATTTTGGTGTCAGAACAACTTCAAATTTCAAGACATATATATATATGTATATATATTGTACAAAGTTAGAAATGAATTCATTTTATAATATTTAACACTTCCAAAAATATAAATAGAAAATGTTATAGTAAATAATAAAAGAAAAAATTTTAAGGAAATACAAAAGTATGTCTTTTGTAAAAGTACTAGTCATGGGAAATATGTCCAGGGGCAAGGTCAGAAACAACTTACAGGAAGTTTTTTTCTCCAAAAGCTTTGCTAGAGGACCAAAATAAGAAATGGTCCCATAAAGAAAAACCCACACATTTTAGCTTTATAAAGCTTTGGTGCACGTAGGAAAATTCCTAACACCTTCTATTCTAATTTTAGGACGGTATTTAGCATTTACCTCTAAGTTTTCATCTGAGTTGGACCATGTTTTTATGTGTACATTGTGGTTTAGCTATGTCTACCGACCTCCAATGAGCGTCCATCGAGGAAGATAAAACCATCAGTTGGATTCTTATGCTATCCACTTAGCTTTCACACTGTAGCTCAGTAACCCTATTTTGCATCTATGCACCATTAATCCCAAAAGACAAAGCATGAGGGAGTTGAGATAAGCAAATGAAAATCTGCCCAAGCTGCTCTGAGAAACACATTACCCACTTCAGGGGTGGGAAGGTAGAGTCAGCTACATGTACAAAGGATAGCATTCATATTACTATATTTAATGCTTCCAACATATATTTGGAAAGAACTCTTATCAGCTGCCAGTTGTCTTCTTGTATATTACCCAAGGGGGAGAGAGAATCATAATTTAAAAATTAATTTAGAAACCGTATGCAGGATAAAAAAAGTATGTGCTCAAGGGGGAACTCATGATCATAATTTACTCAGACACGGAAAAAGTATAAGTAGACAATGCTTTCTAAAATAGGTAATCCTGTTTCAGGTCCTCATCAAGGCTCTGAACATGGGCCAACTGTTTTTTTTGCAAATCTCTTCACTGTTTCAGCTCTGTATCTTTATATTATGCTTAGTGGTGTGAATGGAGTCAGTAATGAGAAGTATTTCAGGTTACTACTAAGCTGTTACTGGTTGATGACAAAATGGCTAATTCATACAATATGTTGTTAAAAAGTCAGTCCATTATCCAGGTGTGTTTCTGCTGGATGCCAAACATCTATGTTTCCAAATTATTGGATGTCATTTTTATGCTCATAGAACATCTGGGTGTTTGAATTTTTCATTTCATATAGTCATGCCTATACATTGTTTCCCTACGGTTTCATTTCGTCTTATTATTGTTATACCAATATTTCACAGAAAAGTAGTCCTACAAATTACATTTAAGGCATACCTGTAAAATCGGAGAGCTATTTCTGGTTGATCAGAATAAAAGTGGTTGCTTCCAATACATGCAATGGCTTCCACGTGAGTATTGTCTTGTTTCAAAACTTCTTTGTAGTATTCGGCTGCAGATGACATATCGTTCATTTCCTGTGCTCCATCAAACAGAAGGGCAATACTTTATTACTTAGATTGGCCAAGAAATTATTTGTTCTGACTGATATAAGTTCATTCATTCAGCAAATATTTGTTGAAAGCCTACCATGTGTCAGACTGTTCTAGGCCCTGGGGACACAAGATGAACAATAAAATCAAGTCATTGTCCTCATGAGGTGACATCTGGTAGGGGGGACAAACAAAGGAGCAAATACGTAATGTAATGTCAGCAAGGACATGTGCTGTGAAGAAAAACACAACAGGATAAGGAGACAGAGAGAGGGAGGTGCTGCTTTGGATGGGGTCATCGAAGCAATCACCTCGGAGGAGCTGCCATTTTGAACAGAGACCTGAACAAAATAAGGGACCGAGACCTGACAATATCTGGGGGGAGAGCATTCATTTACTACATGTATCGTGATAGGCAAAGGGGAAAGCAAACGTACAGGCCTGAGATGGGAACACACTCGGCACGTATCAAGAACCACAAAGGTGAGTGAGGCTGGAAAGAGGGAGGGAGAGTGATATAAAAGGAGACCAGAGAGGCAGCTAGGGGCTTTGTCGGTCATGGTAAGGAACTCAGATTTTTTTTCTAAACTGAAGGAAAGTCATTATAGGGGTAAAAGCTGAGGATGAACGTAGTCACGTTCACATTTTTGAAGTGTTATCTGCAGGATTTTCCAAAGTAGGGAGGAATGGTAGCAGGGAGACTAGGAGTCCAGGAAAGAGATGCCAGCAACCCAGACTAAACTAAGTTCAGAAATACATACCAAAATAAAACTAAAGAAATTTCCACAGTTATTAAATACTCCTTCCAAAATACTGATAATCATAAATAAATGTGTTTATTTTTATTAAAGAACGCTGTATCTCTCAAATCCACCTTCAAGGCCCAGTTCAAACTCGACACCCTTCATGAAGATTCCCCTAGCGCCCTCACTTCACACAGCTCTCTCTGTCTCTCAACTTATATGATATTTATTGTGTGAAGGACTCATTTGTTCTTCTCCTGAGGACTCATTTTTTTTTGAAGATTTTAATCATAAAATATTTTATCATATCTAAGAGATTCCATCGATTATAAGAAGCGTCACACATTGCTTTCTTATCGCGTACAATTTCCATTTTACACTTACTGACAGACTTATGTAGACCTACTCTGACATAGATTTTATCACAAATCATCATTTTGCATGCTTTTTTATAAAGCAAAATATAAGTAAGATAAATCATATATAGTATTCCTAAAACTTCTTCACATGCAGAGTCCAATACTTCTGAATCACTTTCTGCCTCAGTCATCGACATCCAAGCTTTTCCACACAGCATCATTACGTGCGTTGGTGATGCACTGTGTTTCTTACATGCATGCTCCACTACTTCTCCAGGATTTTTCTCCCAAGCCGCTGGCAGTTATTATGCAGTGCCGATACCCGTGCTTTTTTGATCTTACTAACCAAAAACCAAACTCATCACCGCTGAGTCAATTCTGACTCATAGCAACTCTATAGGACAGAGTAGAACTGCCCCATAGGGTTTCCAAGGAGCAGCTAATGGATTCAAACTGCTGACCTTTCGGTTAGCAGCCTAAGCTCTTACCCACCGTGCCACCAGGGCTCCTTGATCTTACTAGCAGTTGTCAACGAAAACTTTCAGACACAATCAGGGCTTAGGTGGTCTTCCTCCTTCAAGTGGTCCTTAAGTGGTTAGTTGACTGAAACATTTAAAAGCTTCAGTTGTCCAGCCATGCCACCAGGAGCAGATGGTGACAACTACATGACAACTGCCTCCTGGCCACAGTGATCAACGATGCCATCTATTGTAAGATGTACCCAAATTTCAGAGATATTAAAATTTTAAAAAAGTATGTTTTCAGAATCTATGAAATATGATTAATTTCCTTGAGACCAAGACATACTTTTTCTTAATACAAAATCTAGCGGTTTTGGATATTACAAAAGTAATAAGCAAGAATTAAATGACTCTCAAACATTTTCTTTAACCTTCTGTTTCCTTGTGGGGGGACTTCCACTATAGCAGTGGTTCTCAAACCTTTTGTTCTCGAAATCCCTTTAAACTCTTTAAAAACTGCTGAGGACTCCAAAGAAGTTTTCTTTATATAGGATATATCTATTGGTATTTACCAGGTTAGAAAATAAAGCTTTTTAATTTTTATTTAATATTTTAAATATTTATTAATTAATCCTAAAAAAAGTAACAAATAACATGCAATAAACCTATTGCATGTTAACATAAATAACATTCTTATTAAAAAATAACTATACTTAACAAAAAATAATAATTAATAGTGGGAAATGTGGCTTGCATTACATTTTTGAGAAATTCTTCAATGTCTGGCTTCATAGAAGACAAATGACGTCTCATATTTGCTTCTGTATTCAATCAATTGTAAGATTTTGTATCATAGAGACAATACAGTATCTATCTCTCACACAGATATATAGTTGGAAAAGGGAGGAGTATTTTAATGGCCTTTTCAGATAATTGTAGATATTGTTCTTTAGCGCTACCCTAAAACTAAGAAGAGGTCATTTCTTAAAGATCAGTTGCAATGTGATTCTGAAATCTGATATATCACTGAGTTTTTCATACATTAAAATCCAATGGTCTATCTTGTTGTTATTGTTATTGTTAAGTGCCATCGAGTCACTTCCAACTGATAGTGACCCTATGTACAACAGAACGAAACACTGCCCTGTCCTGTGCCATCTTCATAATCATTGTTATGCTTCAGCCCATTGTTGCAGCCACTGTATCAACCCATCTCGTTGACGGTCTTCCTCTTTTTCGCTGACCCTCTACTGATGTCCTTTTCCAGAGTCTGATCCCTCCTGATAACATGTCCAAAGTATGTGAGACAAAGTCTCTCCATCCTTGCTTCTCAGGAACATTCTGGTTATACTTCTTCCCAGACAGATTAGTTCATTCTTCTTGTAGTCCATGGTATATTGTAAATTTTTCGCCAACCCCATAACTCAAAGGCATCAATTCTTCCTTGGTCTTCCTTATTCGCTGCCCAGCTTTCACACGCATATAAGGCAACGGAAAACATCAGGCGCATCTTAGTCCTTAAAGTGACACCTTTGCTTTTTAACACTTAAAGAGGTCTTTTGAAGCAGATTTGCCCAATGCAATGCATCGTTTGATTTCTTGATTGCTTGTTCCATTGGTGTTGATTGTGGATCCAAGTAAAATGGAATCCTTGATGACTTCAATCTTTTCTCCATTTATCATGATGTTGCTTATTGGTCCAGTTGTGAGGATTTTTGGTTTATGTTGAAGTGTAATCCGTACTGAAGGCTGTACTCTTTGATCTTCATCAGTAAGTGCTTCAAGTCTTCTTCACTCTCAGCAAGCAAGATTGTGTCATCTGAATATAGCAGGTTGTTCATGAGTCTTCCTTCAATCCTGATGCCCCATTCTTCGTATAGTCCAGCTTCCCAGATTATTTGCTCAGCATACAGATTGAATAATATGGTGAAAGGATAAAACCCTGCCGCACACTTTTCTTAACTTTAAACCACACAATACTGCCTTGTTCTGTTTGAATGACTGCTTCTTGGTCTAAGTACAGGTTCCTCAGGAGCACAATTAAATGTTCTGGAATTTCTATTCTTCACAATGTTATCCATAGTTTGTTATGATCCACACAGTTGAATGACTTTGTATCATCAATAAAACACAGGCAAACAACTTTCTGGTATTCTCTGCTTTCAGCCATGATCCGTCTGACATCAGCAGTGATATCCCTTATTCCATGTCCTCTTCTGAATCCGGCTTGAATTTCTTGCAGTTCCCTGTCGATGTACTGCTGCAACTATTTTTTAATGATCTTCAGCAAAATTTTATTTGTATGTGATACTGTTTGACAATTTCCACATTCAGTTGGATCACCTTTCTTTGGAATGGGCGCAAATATGGATCTCTTCAGTCAGTTGGCCAGGTAGCTGTCTTCCAAGTTTCTCCACATAGATGAGTGAGCACTTCCAGTGCTGCATCTGTTTTGTTGAAACATCTCAGTTGGTATTCCGTCAACTCCTGGAACCCTGTTTCTCGCCAAGGCCTTCAGTGCAGCTTAGATCTCTTCCTTCAGTACCATCGGTTCTTGATCATATGCTACCTCCTGAAATGGTTGAATGTTGACCAGTTCTTTCTGGTGCAGAGATTCTGTGTATTCCTTCCATCTTCTTTTGATGTTTCCTGCATTGTTCAGTATTTTGCCCATAGAATCCTTCAACACTGCAACTCACATCTTGAATTTTTTCTTCTGTTTTTTCTGCTTGAGAAATGCTAATCATGTTCTTCCCTTCTGGTTTTCTAACTGCAAGTCTTTGCACATTTCATTATAATACTCTGTCTTCTCAAGCTGCCCTTTGAATCTTCTGTTCAGCTCTTTTACTGCATCATTTCTTCCGTCTGCTTTAGCTATTCAATGTGCAAGAGCAAGTTTCAGACTCTCTTCTGACATCCATTTTGGTCTTTTCTTTCTTTCCTATTTTTTTTAACAACCTCTTGCTTCTTCATGTATCATGTCCTTGCATGCAAAAAGACCAAACCCTTCGCCATCAAGTGGATTCTGACTCATAGTGACCCTGTAGGACAGAGCAGAACTGCCCCACAGGTTTTTCAAGGAGTCATTGGTGGATGCAAACTGCTGACCTTTTGGTTAGCAGCCGAACTCTTAACCACTGCACCACCAGGGTACCTATCCTGCATAGAACAGTTTAACTTTTATGTACTCCAATTCATCAGTCTTTTCCATCATGGATTTCTGACTTTGTGTCATGCTTAGGAAGGTCTTCCCCACTCTAAGTTTATACAAATAATTCATCTATGCTTCTTCTGGAACTTTCATGATTTTATTTAATTCTCTGAGTCATCTGGCAGTAACAGATTCTTTTAGTGAAAGAAATCAGCCAGCCTGACTTTTTATCTATTTATTAAACAATCTAATATACCTACTCCTCACTATCTCATAATCCCTCATTTCACATTTACAACAATAGTAAAAAATCTACTATCCAACTGTTTTGTGCATTAGCAACCCACCGATTTGCACACCCGCACCGCACATAGCTCGTCCAGGTTGCACAGAGAGAGAAGCGGCGCCGCATCCGGGATATTTAACCCCAGTCTGGAACTCACAGGGCGCCCCACACTCCGGCTCCACCTAGCTCGTGCCTCCCCTCCCTCCTCCCAGCTCCAAAACTTTTCCATCACCCCAAACAGCAATAACTCCCCATTCTCCCCGCCTGTCTAAGGTGATGAAGAAGTTCTGGAAATAAACAGTGGTGACAGTTTTACAACGCTGTGAGTGTAATTAATGGCACTGAATTGCAGACTTAAAAACTATTAAAACAGCAAAGTTTATGTTATTTATACTTTGTTGTTGTTGTTAGGTGTCATCGAGTCTGCTCTGACTCATAGTGATCCCACGTATAACAGAACTAAACGTTGCCCAGTCCTGCACCATCCTCACAATCATTGCTATGTTTGAGCCCATTGTTGCAGCCACAGCGTCAATTCATCTCACTGAGGGCCTTCCACTTTTCTGCTGACCCTCCACTTTACCAAGCATGATCTCCTTCTCCAGGGACTGAGACGAAGTCTTGTCATCCTCACTTCTAAGGAGTATTCTGGCTGTACTTCTTCCAAGATAGATTTGTTCATTCTTCTCGCAGTCCATGGTATATTCAGTATTCTTTATCAACACCATAATTCAAATGTGTCTATTCTTCTTATTCTTCCTTTTTCATTGTTTAGCTTCCACATGTACACGAGGCGACTGAAAAGACCATGGCTTGGGTCAGGTGCACCTTAGTCATCAAAGTGACATCTTTGCTTTTTAAGATTTTAAAGAGGTCTTTTGCAGGAATAATTTTTTTTTTAATCCAATCGGTTTAACAGGCAACCTTTATCATACTCTAAATTTTCATATGTATGACCACATGTGGAGTCTATTTTGGTCCTTTAATCTGTTCCTGTATCAGAATTGTTTAAATTATAGTAGCTCCAGAATTATTAATGTGGATTTAAAATAATATTTTCAAGTATATAAGTATCACTTCAAGTATACGAATAAACTTGGTATCATTGAAGTCATTTTTACAGTTGTTAGTTTTGAACCAATTCACAAAGTACTGACTATAATTAGATTTTTACTCTATAAAAATAAATTGCAAAATAACTTAAGGAAGTGAATGTTGCAGTGCTTCTCAAATATTGTTATGCATCCAAATCACCTAGGGAATTTTTTAAAAATACTAATGGCTTGGCTCCACCTTCCAGAACTTCTGGTAGGTAGAGTATGGGTTGTTCTTCTGACAAACTTCAAGACACTTTCTATACACTGTAAAGTTCGAGAACCACTAGAATAATATTTCCTAGCGTAAGGTTACTAATTTCAAACCCCTTGTAGCAAAGAACAGCTCAAATAAAGACCTCTCTTCCCAAAGGATAAAAGAAGTGTCTCAAGAAAAATAAAAACTACAGTCAAAGAAATTTAGCCAGCATAAATCATTTTAAACAAGTTTCTATACAAAACAAGCAACAAACAACAGGCAGCACAATAATGTTCATGGTAAAATAGGAAACATTTAAAAGATAAAATACCAAGACGAAAGCAATAAATAAAGGAAGAGAACGCCTCCAGAGAAAAGCATGATGTACATAACACAAATCCTTAAAGGCATGTGAAGCGTAGGCTGCAACACTGAGAAACAAACTTTACTAATTAACTCTAAGTCCATTGTCACATAAAAAGAAAAAGAATACACTAGAAATCTGACTTGGTAAGGTAAACTTTGGCAAGTGGAGAATTAACTATGTAAATTCAAGGAGAAGTACCACATTCAACTCTTTCAAGTCTGTACTTTGTCCTTGATCACCCTATTTGGGCCATGACATACTCGTCCCCATAATGGGGATGCTTTCTTCTCCACTTTTTTCTTCCTTCAAGGCCACACTCAAATTCTACTTCTTTTATAAAGCCTTCCTGTGTACACTTGGAAACCCTGGTGGTGTAGTGGTTAAGAGCTATGGCTGTAGCTCTTAACCAAAAGGTCAGCAGTTCGAATCCACCAGCTGCTCCTTGGAAACCCTATGGGACAGTTCTATAGGGTCACTATGAGTCGGAATTGACTCGATGGCAAGGGGTTTGGTTTTGTTTTTGTGTACACTTACAAAAGGATATGTTCCTCAATCTCCTGGCCCAACCCAGAGCAGGGAAAAGCAGGAGGGTAGTTGATAAAAGAATCTGCTCCAGAGCCACTTCCTATCCCATTCATAGCAACAGTGACTATAACAGAGGCTAGCAAGGAGTTCTCCTGGCCAGTAACCACACCTCAAAGATGCAGACAGTTCTTCAGCTCCTGCTGCAGCACTTCCTGCCTGAGCAGAGACAGGGCAGAAGGACTGAAATGTGCAGAGGCACAGGCTGAAGGTCAAAGAGCTCTGACAGTCATCACTATGCATGAATTCCACTGGCTTCAAAATTCACTCTATTTAATTTCCTTTCTAAGCTTCATGGTCAAAGCTTTGCTTATGTTCAATTTAGGGTCACAAAAAATAGAGAGATACTGATAGACATACTTCTGTTTATACATTTATCAAAATTATATTTCTAAAGGGGAACCTTTAGACAATTTTCTAGACAACTTCAAAATATTTACTGATTTTTTATTTAAAAAGTAATACATGATCATAGAAGATCTGGAAAATACAGAACACATAAAGAAGAAAATAAAAATCAGCCACACATTATCATCCAGTATTAATACTTCCCACTCTTTTCTTTAACAAAATAATTTTAAGAAAATTATACCTAGCATTTTTAAGGAATTTAAAACACGGTGGAGATATTGCTGTTCAATAATGTATTGGAAGTCCTAAATAATAAGATACAAAAAACAACAGGGTAAAATAATCACAGTGAAGAGAATGAAGTTGTATTTGCAGATGATGATTATTTACTTAGAAAATTAGAGAGAATCTATAGATAAGCTATCGAAATTTAAAAAGAGTATTTATCTAGGTTGCTGGTATCAAATCAACTTTTAAAAAATTAGTGCAGAAATAACCAGAAACAATCAACTTGAAAAAAGAAAAAAAAAAAAGATTCTATTCATAGTTATACCTAGGAACACATCTGTGCAGAAGAGTTGACACAGCAGGCTTGAGACTGCTGTTCTTAGAAAGGCCTGACTGCAACACTGGCCCTTGGCCGGGGTCTGGGAATTTGGCTAGTTCTCTACATTGATATAAAACTTTCCCCAAATGATAAGAGTGGCTCACTGTACCTAAACTGTTTGTACAAACAATGAGGTTTAGGCTTAACACCTACTTCCTTCTGGGAGTCTGGAATTTGGGTATATGCTAGGCAGAAGGTGCCTATGTGAACAGCCCCCAGTAATAACCTCAGGCATCGAGTCTCTAATGAGCTTCCTTGGCAAACAACATTTCATGCATGTTATCACAGCTCGTTGCTGGTGGGATTAAGCGTGCCCCATGTGACTCCACCAGGAGCCCTGGTGGTGCAGTGGTTAAGAACTCGGCCGCTAACCAAAAGGTCAGCAGTTCAAGTCCACCAGCCAGCTCCTTGGAAACCCTATAGGGCAGTTCTACTCTGCCCTATAGGGTCGCTACGAGTTGGAATTGACTCAACAGCAACAGGCTTTTTTGTTTTTTTGGTTTTGGTGTGACTTCGCTAGGAGAGAACTCTTTTAAAAGCCTGAGTCTGGTTTCCTCCAGACTTTGTCCCATGGGCCTTTTCCCTTTACAGAGTTTTCTTTGTACCCTTTCACTATAATAAATCTTAGCTCTGAGTACAACTATATGCTGAGTCCTGTGAGTCCTTCTAGCCAATCACCAAACCTGATGGTGGTCCTGGGAACCCCCAATACAACATCTTTATGGATATGATTGCAAAATATTTACTGAAGGACAAAAAGAAAACGTAAGTAAATAGAGTTATATCATGATTAAGAACAGGAAGAAAGGCAGCTCTCTCCCATCATTCATGCATTTAATGCAATTCCAATCAGTATGCCTGCAGGTATTTCTATGGTTCATGTTAGGTCAATTCTAACATCAATGTGGAAGAGCAAAGGGGCAGAATAACCAGCTTTGAAAAAGAAGAACAAGATGGTAGGATTTGCCCAACCTGAAATCAGGAATTATTGTAAAGTTATAGTAATTAGGCAGCAGGGAAGGTATCTCAATGGGGTTTTTCATGGAATTTGACATGACTCCAAAATTTATAAGAACAAACAAAAGACCAAAAATATCCATGACTCTCCTGCGGAAGATGGACAAGGAAACCTATCATATTTTAAGTATTATAAAGCTATAGTAATTAAGATGATGCAATATTGATACGAGGAGAGACAAACAGACCAACAGAACAGAACAGAAGGCCCCAAAACATATCCAGCATATATGGAAAATTGATATTTGACATGACAGACCATGAGAAAAGGATCAATAAATGTGCTGAAACAACCAGCAATCCATATGCGGAGGAGGGGGATCATTTAAATCCCTATCTCATACCATTCTCTGTAGTCTTCCGTATGTTTGAAATATTTTGTAATAAAAACTAAATTTTATAAAATACATATATTAAAGTCTCTTACTCAAACAGTAATCTACAAGCCAACAATCACAACTTCATAAATTATCTGCCTCCTTGCTATGACCCTGTGGGATTATGAGCTTTCTGAAGCAGCGCATATCCTCAACCCTACAACTTTTTGAATAATAAGTACTTTACCTCATAGATCCTGGCAATTCCACAAAGTAGGGTTACTTCTCCTGGAAACTTATCTAAACCTTGTTTGAAAAGATTCAAAGCAGTCACAGGCTGATCCAACGAGATGTAAACCTAAAACCAACATACAATTAATAAAGCATTAGTTCTTAAAATAACAGTGTTTGTTATAACAAGTTTATAATGACAGTTGTTAGTAACAAATTATCTCCTAGATAATTATAGTACAAAAATTTCAGAAATGTGCAAGAGCAAATTTCCAACCATGAGGTTATAATTTTGTCTCCACATGTTGAATATGGAACATCATTCATTTATTAATTCAACAAATGCTTATTGTGGGCTTACTAAGCAACACGTATATGACAAGGCTCTGGAAACACACAAGTGATTAAGACAAGGTTCCTTCTCTTACAGTTGTCCCAGTAGAAGAATGAGTCTTATAAACACATGATTCCAATACAGAGTGATGAATGCTCTGAAAGAGGTTAGAGAATCCACAGTTCTACCTGTTGGGTTAGAGAGTAGTCAGAGAAGGGCATTTTCAAGGTGGACAAAAAAGTCTAAAACAGACTGCCTGAGTCAGAATCCCAGCACCAACACTGACCAGCTGTATGGGGTTGAGTAAGTTACTTTTCTTCTCTGTGCCTCATTTTCCTCATCTAGGAAATGGAAAAAATCCTCACAACCACCACTTGAAGGTTCAATGACACAAACATCAGCTACTGTTACTACTGTTATGTGTGTGCGTCCCTGAGTTTCATGCCAGGAGAGGACAGAAAGATAGGCTTGGGCTGGTGAAACCTAAAGTGTTCAAACTTCATACCACAGGTGATGGGACGGCAGTGGAGGTTCATTTTGTGTATTAAAAATTGAATCTGTGTTGACAGTTGTACAATTCTGTGAATATACTAAAAACCACTGAATTGTACACTTTATAAGCGTCAATTTTATGGTGAGTTATATCTTGATAAACTTGCTATTTAAACAGTTGAAACATTGATTGTTCAATTTGTGTTTAAAAAGAAAATTCTGTGTATGTGTAGGAGAGAGTGGAGAGGAAAAGGCAATAAAAAGAAATCAGTGGAAGGCTGCTGTGGTTGCAAAAGATGAAAATGGCTCAAAATAAGGCAATAATGGGACAAGTGGTTTTCAGAGATATAAGAGGTAAAATCAATAGGACTTAATGTCTGATTAGATGTGACTGAGATTTCTGGCTTTGGTGGATGGATATATGGTGAAGCTATTCTCTGAGATGAATGATCTTCAGCAAAATTTTACTTGCATGTGATATTAATGATATTGTTCAATAATTTCTGCATTCAGTTGGATCACCTTTCTTTGGAATAGGTATAAATATGGATCTCTTCCAGCCAGTTGGCCAGGTAGCTGTCTTCCAAATTTCTTAGCATAGACAAGTGAGCACTTCCAGCGCTGCATCCATTTATTGAAACATCTCAACTGGTATTCCATCAACTCCTGAAGCCTTGTTTTTCGCCAGTACTTTCAGCGCAGCTTGGACCTCTTCCTTCAGTACCATCAGTTCCTGATCATATGCTACCTCCTGAAATGGCTGAACATCGACCAATTGTTTTTGGTACAGTAACTCTGTGTATTACTTCCATCTTCTTTTGATGCTTCCTGCATCATTTAGTATTTTCCCTGTAGAATCCTTCAATATTGCAACTCAAGGCTTGTATTTTTTCTTCAGTTATTTCAGCTCAAGAAATGCTGAACATGTTCTTCCCTTTTGGTTTTCCCCAGGTCTTTGCACATGTCATTATAATACTTTACTTTGTCTTCTTGAGCTGCCTTTTGAAATATTTTGTTCAGCTCTTTTACTTCATCATTTCTTCCTTTTGCTTTAGCTGCTAGATGTTCAAGAGCAAGTTTCAGAGTCTCTTCTGACATCCATTTTGGTCTTTTTTCTTTCCTGTCTTTTTAATGACCTCTTGCTTTCTTCATGTATGATGTCCTTGATGTCATTCCACAGTGCATCTGGTCTTCAGTCATTAATGTTCAATGTGTCAAATCTATTCTTGAGATGGTATCTAAATTCAGGTGTGATATACTCAAGGTCATGCTTTGGCTCTTGCGGACTTGTTCTAATTTTCTTCCACTTCAACTTGAACTTGCATATGAGCAATTGATGGTCTGTTCCATAGTCGGCCCCTGCCCTTGTTCTGACTGATATTGAGCTTTTCTAGCGTCTCTTTCCACCAATGTAGTTGATTTGATTCCTGTGTATTCCATCTGGTGAGGTCCACATGTATAGTCACCGTTTATGTTGTTGAAAAAAGGTATTTTCAATGAAGAAGTTGTTGGTCTTGCAAAATTCTATCATACGATCTCCAGCGTCATTTCTATCACCAAGGCCGTATTTTTCAACCACCAATCCTTCTTTTTTGTTCCCAACTTTCTCATTCCAATCGCCAGTAATTATCAACACATCTTGATTGCATGTTTGATCAATTTCAGACTGCAGAAGCTGGTAAAAACACTCAATTTCTTCATCTTTGGCCTTAGTGGTTGGTGCATAAATCTGAATAATAGTCATATTAACTGGTCTTCCTTGTAGGCGTATGGATATTATCCTATCACTGACAGCACTGTACTTCAAGACAGATCTTGAAATGTTCTTTTTGACGATGAATGTTGACTCTATTCCTCTTCAATTTGTCATTCCCAGAATAGTAGACCATATGATTGTCTGATTCAAAATGGCCAACACCAGTCCATTTCAGTTCACTAATGCTTAGGATATCGATGTTTATGCGTTCCATTTCATTCTGATGATTTCCAATTTTCCTAGATTCATACTTCATACATTCCACGTTACGATTATTAACAGATGTTTGCAGCTGTTTCTTCTCAGTTTGAGTCATGCGCATAAGCAAATGAAGGTTCCAAAAGCTTGACACCATCCACATCATTAAGGTCAACTCTACTTTGAAGAGGCGGCTCTTTCCCAGCCGTATTTTGAATGCCTTCCAGCCTGAGGGGCTCATCTTCCAGCACTATATTAGACAATATTCCGTTGATACTTGTAAGGTTTTCACTAGCTAGTTTTTTTCAGAAGTAGACCACCAAGTCGTTCTTCCTAGTCTATCTTAGTCTGGAAGCTCTGCTGAAACCTGTCCACCATGGGTGACCCTGCTGGTAGTTGGGTACCAGTGGCATAGCTTCCAGCATCACAGTAACACACAAGCCCCCACAGTACAACAAACTGACAGACACGTGGGGGCATTTCTTCATATTCTGTATTAAAGGATACAAGTAAATTTTATCTTTTATAGGCAATGAATGGATTTTAATAAATCAATTTATGGAGAAATAAGTCAAACCACGTATTTAACAATAATTAAAATAAAAAGCGTTAATTTTTTTTTCAACCACACTTCCTGGCATATGTGGCCAGGGATTGTCAATGAAGATGATAGTCAAATAGTGTGACCTGAGGCTTTCTCTTTCAGAAAAGTCTAGTAACTAATGTTTTGAAACTTTAAAGAATTTAAATTTAATATGGCGACACCATGTGTGTCAGAGTAGAACTGTGCTCCATACGGTTTTCAATGGCTGGTTCTTCAGAAGTAGATTGCCAGGCCTTTCTTCTGAGGTCACCATGAGTCAGAATTGACTCAATAGCAACTGGGTTTTTTTTAAGTTTAATATATAATGCACAGAAGATAAATTTAAATACCATATAGTTTCTGATAGTTCTGGCAATCACTGTAAACATAACATACTAAGACTCTGACAGTAAATTTAGAGCATAAATTTCATTTTGTTTTTTTCAGTATATGAATTTTTATTACCATTTTTAGGAACTAGTGGCACTTCCTTTCATATCTCACCTTCTTTTGAACCTCCTTTGCCACACTTTTTAAATTTAAAAATCTCTTAAAGATACAGCCAGATGATGTCATAAGCACCACTTCAACAAATCATTTTCTTTAAAAGTAGCCTTGGTGAGGGTCAAGAAGTGACTGGATACTAGCAGTGAAAATTCTAGGCAGCTCCTTCACTTCTGGTATAGCAGTGTGGGGCACCATGGGGCAGTGAACAGACTCCAGAGTCACAAAGACCTAAGTTTGCTAACTCTTAGTAGATAGATGACCTTGAAAAACTCATTTAAGCTCTCTTAGCCTCATTTTCCTTCCATGTACAAAGAAAATGATAAAACCTACTTTGCAGGGTTGGGTGAGGGTTAAATTAACTGCATACAGAATGGGCCTGATACAATGCCTCATGCTGAGTAGGTGCTCCATAAAGGGGAAATACTGTTTTCATTATTATGGCAGAGCAGAAAAATCAAGGACTTACACAAAAACTGTCCCTGTTCTTAGACAGCCTGCTCAGGTGGGAGACAAGTCTGGTAGAAAAGAGGGCCTACCTGGGGCCTGTTACCTATAGGGGTGGTGACTCTGTGGCATTTCCTTCTGTCCTAACAGGCAATCTTTCAAAGAGGTCTTCTCATTTTTCATGACAATCCATTTCTCTTGACATAACTATCCTCCATGTTCTCACTTTTCCCCTTGCTATAAAAAAAATAAGTCAAATCTGAGCATATTAACTTTCCAAATATTCTGAAGAAATTGGCATCTCTCCCCCAGCATTGGCCAGAATTTAGACTTTTATTCTGAGAAGACAAATGTCACTCATATTAAGAATATTTACTTACTTTTGCCAAGTAGAGAAATGTATCTACCATTTCCTGCTGCTTCAGGGCTGATTTAAACTGTTTTTCAGCTTCACGATACATTCCTAACCTAAGAATAACCATTAAAAAAAAAATTAGACATTCAACTTAAAAATAAATACTACAGCATTTATTCATAGCCTGAATAAATTCACATCCCTAAGGATATGAATACAGACAAACCCCATCTATAAGAGCAAGCATGTACAAACGAAGGTACTGTCGTACACATATATAGTTAATATACATGTTTATCTAGTTTAGGAAAAAGCTGCCTATCTCCCATATTCACTGCCTACATAACCTCTAAATGGCATGTAAACAGTCTGTCTGGAGCCTAGTCACAGCAGGAGTAATAACTGCCAGTAAGCCAGGTCACACCAGTTCACCACCTAAAGAGCTTATGATCAGCTGGACATAAAGCAAATGACCTGAATAAATGCTTAAAGAGTCTCTACTTTCCTGAGAGAACAGAAGGATGACATTTCTTTGATACCATCTTCCACTCTGAGACAAAGCCTACTTTTTAAAGCTATCCTTAAATTATTCTGATATAAGTGAAATTGCCATTTGACTAATATAGTTACATCATCTTATTATTCTAGAAATCCTTTTTTCTGTTCCTGATTTGGTGTCTGATACTGATTGTCCTAACCTACGCATCTGAGATTTGCTCCTTGTCTAAATATGATTGTCCTGATGTCAGCTCCCATCTCTTCTGCTCAGCGAACATTTTGCTAGTGCTAAATCAGTCATTAAAGCAAACACAGCTTTCGTTCAGCCTGGTCTTACTAGACCTGTTGGGCTTCCTCGTAGCTACTCATTCCTAGCCACCTAAGAGCTACTTAGGTGCTTTGTGATAATGCTTTTATTCTATAAAATAGCATCAGAACAATATAAATATGTTCCATTGTGCTACTTTCATTAAAAGCCTTGAAAGAATAGTTCTGATCTTTCTTCATAACCTAAGCCTCAAGCACTGGTGTAGCTGATACCCAAATGGTTGCTGGAAGACTTGGGATTAAAGGTGACCCCAAAAGACCTGCCTAAAGTTAGAAGATGCATGATGTGGTAGAAGTCTCACAAATTCACAGAGTATAAAATGTTAGGAAAGAGCTCTAAAATTCTGGAAAACAGCACATTTATACATATAACTTCAACTAAGCATGCAAGTCATAAGCACTTGGCTAACGCTTGGTCACTGAATTCCGTGAATGCTAATTATACAGGACAGTTTGTATATTTTTTTCTAATAACTTATCTCCTTCCAAAAGTGATTTAAAAGGGATTAAAATTTAAAAATATATATAAAACAAGAATGTGAAAACAGAAATCGATTTTTTTAAACAATGGAGATTGAAAAATAAAATTTTAAATACAAACAAAATAGCAACCAGAGTTACTGAGATACCTGGAAGACAAAGTAAAGGAAGGATGGGTCATATTTTTTTTTTATTACTACATCCTCAAGATATAACTTCTTCTAGTACTACCAAAAATGTTAAACATTAGGTGAATTAATGTTAGAATCTTCAGGTCCTAGGGAAATAATATGAAACTATGGAAATAATAAGAGAATTGGAGTCAGAATGCTGAGCTCAAATTCTTGCTCTGCCACTACTAGTTATACCAATTTGGAAGGTCACTTTATCTTTCTGAGGTTTAATTTTTCTCATCCTTAAGAAGAGCTAATGATAGTAACTACCTCAGAGGTGCTGTGAGATTTAAGTGATAATGTAATGTATAGACAAGCCACCTCTTAACTCTAAAGCACTCTACAGATGTGCAGCATCAGTGTATATACAAGACTTGCGGGCTGAGAGGACTTCACTGGGATCAACATCCTTCGTTCTAGTCCCAGGTCTGTTATTAACACTTATGCAAATCACAGCCTCTCGGGCCTCAGCTTCCTCATCTGAAAAAGGCTGTTGACCTGATGGCCTCAAAGTTTCCTCCTCCCAGCTCTAAAGAGTTATCAGTTTTAACTGCTACTATGTGATTGTTAGGTAAATCCTTACTCAAATTAACCAAAAACACAATTTTCATTTCTTCATGAGGAAATCTATTAAAAGAGAGAAAGAGAGACTGGAAACTCTAAAATACGTTGCCACTTCTAAGCCCTCCAAAAATCATCAGAATTTTATTTTACCTGTAGTAACATTTTCCAATCTGCACTTTCCACCACCAGTCCTTGTACTGAGAATGCTCTGTGGAAAGGGCCGCCAAATCCAAAGCCTTTGAAAAGAATTCATTTTAGATTAGAATTTTCTTTTCTAGTTAGAAACAATAAATAAAATAAACCATATAATTAGCATCAGTCAAAACATGCATTATATATCGAACAGAAACTTGGGTTGCTCATGTTTCCAGATGGCCCCACCAATTTTCCCTAATCAGTTCCAGACCAGAGGGCTGACAGCAGATGAGATATCAACATTGATTAAAGAGAAGGCATAAAACTGATAATTACAAATCCATTATTTTTTACCCCATCCACTTTATTTACTATCTAATGACTCAAAATGCCTACAAACTTGGAGGTAGAGTAGTCCCCGCTCATTCGTGGGGGATATGTTCCAAGACCCCTAGTGAATGCCTGAAACCAAGGATAGTACCAAACCCTATATATACTATGTTTTTTCCTATACATACACACCTATGATAAAGTTTAATTTATAAATTAGGCACAGTAAGAGATTAACAACAATAACTAATAATAAAACAGAACAATTACTAAGTAAAATAAGTGTAAAATAAGCACTGTACCACGGTGGTCAATCTGATAACGGAGACAACTACTAAGTGACTAACGGGTGGGTAGTGTATACAGCGTGGCTATGCTGGACAAAGGGATGTTTCATGTCCCAGGCAGGACGGAGCAGGAAGGTGCAAGACTTCATCACGCTACTCAGAATGCTGTGCAATTTAAAACTTATGAATTGTTTATTTCTAGAATTTTCCATTTAGTATTTTCAGACCGTGGTTGACCGTGGGTAACTGAAACTGTGGCAAGTGGAACTGTAGATAAGGGGGGACTACTGTAGTCAAGTCTTTGTTGTGTTGGCCAGGCCAACTGCAGGCCCCACTTTAAAGACCAATGTAGTAAAATAGAGAAAGATCAAGTGAACAAATTAAAAAAAAAATTTTTTTCAAAAATGGCATCACACAGAAGAGTGAAAGGAGTTAGGGTGATTGAGTAACTGTCATCGCCAACACCCATCATTCCATTACTCTGACATTACCTTCTGTTGCGGTAATTCTCAGGGTCAGACTTTCTTTTGCTTCGGACTGAAAAAGATCTTAATTGCTTTCCTATTTTATATCTGTTTATCTCATTTCCCTAATATATTCTAGTTTATTCCTTACAGTGTTTATTCAAGGAGTCCCTGGGTGGCACAAATGGTGCTTGACCACTAGCAGAAAGGCTGGTCGGTTGAACCCACACAGAGGCACCTCGGAAGGCAGGTCTGGCGATCTGCTTCCAAAAGGTCACAGCCTGGTTGCGCAACTTGAAGAATATAATCAATGTCACTGAATTGTACTTGAAGAAATTGTTAAGCTAGTGTATGTTTTGCTATGTGTGTTTTCAACAACCATAAAGAAAAAAATAAAACGTTATGGAGCAGTTATACTCTGCACACATAGAGTTGCCACAACTTGGAATCGACTTGAAGACAACTAACAACAACAGATAAACAACAACAACTCAAGATCAGACAAGAGATCACTAAACGGGAATTAGAATTTTATACAGAAGAAATGGAAACTGTTTTTACAGAGAGGAAAGCAAATCAATCTTTACACAATTTTGAAGCTCATCTAAAGATTTGGAGAATAAAGGCTTGGGTTATTAGTTAAAAGAGGACTCTGATTTTTTAATAACACTTATTTTTTCTCTCCAAGTTGGAAAAATGTCTATTTTTTCAATGTTAATATAATCATGATATCCAACAACTCAGTTAAAGTACCTCTTAGATTTTCTGTTCTATTATCTCAAAATGCATTGATATCATTGTCTACTTCTTAATATTAACTCTTTTCTGAAATGAATACCAGGAGAGTTCCTCCTTGCATCTCCTACTGTAAAATCAATTACTTTTCCTTGTGTTCCCCATTTTCTTTTGCTCCAGCAGAGACCTCTAAATATGCAAGCTATTTATGAAGGGATGATGTCACCAAGCTGAGACTCTCATGGACTTGAAAAATCAACATCTCTACTTGAAAGCTACAGAAATTCAAAACAAGCAACACACTACTTTCATACACTTATTTTTTCCCCAGCCAGAAGTAAAAATGAAAGCAAAAAGGAAGTAAAAAGTATAACTTCAATTAGCATGATCTTTGGAAAATACTAGGGAAATCTATTTTCCATCAACCCAGTTCAGGACTACGTTGTAAATATCTGAACATATTAATTTTAAGTTAATCTTTACAAAGCCCTTTGCAGCAAATATATTTTATTCACGCTCATTTTTAATGTAAACAGACCTGCTATTGTTCTGAAAAAGGTGTAACTGTACATTTTTTTACATATTCTAACTTTCTGAGGTTAGATTTAATGCTTATTACAGGCTGATATTGCTTTCAGAGATGGTCCTGAAAAAAAGTCATACATTTGTACTCAACCAATAAAGGAAATTTATATTTATATGAATCATAAATAAAGAAGAAAAGTAAAAATTACATTTTAATGATCATTCTTCATATGAAAACTGAGATTAAACTGAGGACAAATAAAAACATTTGTGACAATTTCAAATGGACACTAAGCTCCCTGAGGACTCACAATCCTTCTTATACATCTCTGTTACTCTGGTATGGTGCTGTGCTCACTAAACGCACTCAAGAATTGTTGGTTGAATTAATTCTACTTTTCGTTTGTGATTTACATTGAAAATAACTTAAGAACCAAAAGAACTGTGATAGTAATAAGTTTCATAATTAAAGGCTATGAACATTTTTTAATTTTCAAAGGCTCGCAGAAGTCTTTTCCAATTTTTTAAATTACTACACACTTACATTTAAAGATCTGTGAATAGTTTAATCAAACCAATATCCAGATATTAATAAAGGCCTTGTTGTTGTTAGGTGCTGTTGACTTTGACTCATAGTGACCCCCGTGTGACAGAGTAGAACTGTGCCACGGGGTTTTCTCGGCTTTAAAGGCCTAGAATGTCAGAAGAAAGCTGTACGTTTATAATAAAGTCTGTAAGTATCTAGACAACATAATGTTTGTGAATATGTTCAGCTGACAGTCCTAATAAATTTCCTAAGTACTAGTGCTCCAATCACTAAAGTTTAAAAACAGGCATCCCTTCACTATTGTTATAAAAAACCAACAAACCAAACCCGCTGCCGTTGAGTCCATTCCAACTCATAGCCACCCTATAGGACAGAGCAGAACTGCCCCATAGGATTTCCAAGGAGTGGCTGGTGGATTCGAACTGCTGACCTTTTGGTTAGTAGCCACTGCTCTTGATCACTGTGCCAGCAGGGCACCAATTATATTATATAATTATAATAATATAATTACACAATTATATTAAATATACTAAATTGTATACTGTTTTGGCTTAACATTATACAATAAACAGTTTTCATGTTTCTCCCTAGCTTTTAATCATTGTGATTTTTAATGGCTGCATAAAATTCCATCACGCTAATTATCATAATTAACTAAATTCATCCTCTATGGCTGAACATTTAGGTTGTTTTCCCGGTGTTTTTGCTACTGCATCTAACACTAAAATGAACATCTTTGCAAACATAGCACATTACTTTTTACTGAAATTTCCTGAAAAGCTAAATTACTGGAACAAAGTGAATAAAATATCTTTGGAAATCCTATTGATTTCCAAAACTGTTGTGTCATTCACTAAATCACCTGTAATACATGACTGTAACAATTTACTGCATTCTCCCACAGCACTTTTTTTTTAATTTCATAAATGTAAAGTTGTGGATCCATAGTTTCTTTATTTTTTAATTTTTGTTGTTAGTAAAAAAAATGCATCTCTAAGTGCTTGTTTACTGGCATTTATCTAATGTAAATTGCTTATATTTGAGTCATTTTTATTTTCATAATAATTTTTCTAGCAAATTCAGAGAAGCTTTTAATATATGATAAACAGTAATTTCTTTAAGTCAACTGTAATATTTTTAAGTCATGCTTGATGCAAATATTTCTCCCTTTATTTTTTGGTTCTGTTTCTGCTTACTATTCAGAGATTCCATATATGAATCTCTAATATTTTTCCTTTGTGAAAGCATCACATAAGTCCAACAAAATCTGTGAAATATTCCACCATTCACTAGTTTCAATTTTTTTAATTCTTCACTTATCAAATGTGTAAAAGAAAGCCCTTAAACAAATTTTCTCAACAGTGTTGGTTAATGAAGTATAAATATCTGTTTGAAAAAACAGTTAAAAAATTGGTACCCAACATTGCTTGTTTCTAGGGTATTAAGAGTCTTTGACGTTCCCAACAATGAAAATATAAAATTTATAAATGGGGATGATTATTGTTGAGCTGGGTGATGAGTGATATGGGCTCATTATAACGATTCTCTCCACTTTTATATGTTTGAAGTTTTCCATCATAAAATGCTAAGGGGTATGGGAGGTGCTGCTAAGAAGCCAGAAATACATGGATTCGTAAACTTATAATATAGTACATAAACTAAAGAAAAAAATGGCTCAGCAATGCTAACTATTAGCATAAAAAACAAACTTTCTAACACAAAGATGCTATGCAGTATTCTCAATTTTCTGTATCTGGCCCTTTAAAGGAGATCTCTATACTCTATGGACCATGCATAGTTCTTATCACTTTGATATTTATACTAACGTTCCTACTGAAACTGACAGTGGATTTGGAAGTATTAGTAATTCTTCAATCTTTAATAATTCCATCTGTTTATAAGATGGAAGATAGAATATTTCAGAATTTAAACATCCAAGTCAGAAAAAAATTACAATAAAAGAGTAGCATGAATTCAAAACTTACAGTCTTAACATCATTTTCATGATGAAAGATATACTCAAACAATGCCTATGAAGAGAAAAAAAAAGCAAAAAATACATTAGATTTGATTTTAATAAAAGCACTCTATGGCTATATCAAAACTCAAAGGCTATTTTGAGCAAGATTGAACCAAAATAATAGGATACTCTAAAGTATCTCATATTTATAACTGAAGAGTCTATCCATCATTTGTTACAATCATCCATTTAAAAATACAGTTATTTACAGCTGACTCCTGTTTTTACAGAATACAAATTGGAAAGCTCAAATAATTGAACATTATTTTCACATTACACATGCCATTTTATTAGAAACAAACATATGAAAAGTTTATTTTTCTTTCTTAAAGACTAACTTCAAGATTGTCATATTCCTAACAGGTTCAGCCAACTTTTTATACTGTCTACATATATTATTGACACAGTGGTTAAGAGTCGGCTGCTAACCAAAAGGTCAGCGGTTCAAATCCACCAGCCGCTCCTTGGAAACCCTATGGGACAGTTCTACTCTGTCTTATAGCATCGCTGTGAGCTGGAATAGACTTGATGGCAAAGAGGTTTGGTTTGGCTTACACATATTATACAGTGATTCTGATATTAATAATGACAATTTAGACATGGGAAAATCCGGAAGTTCCTTCTGGGATTAGAGTTTAAGTGTAATGTGGGGTGTTATTTTGCTTAATTTTTAAAGCAATTTCTCCTTACATGGTATTTACAGTAACTCTGACTCAGGGTATTCGGACTTCTTCAGCACAGGGGTTCTCAGCCCTGACTGCACGCTGGAATCACCTGGGGGGCCCATACCAGACCAATTAAATCAGAATCTCAGGCGTTGAGCCGCCTACCCCAGGATGTTTTTTTAAATCCCCCAGGTGATTCTAATGCGTAGCCAGCGTTGAGAACCACTACTTTAAAATTTCACCCAACTACTGTACCAAACCAAAACCCGTTGCCATCAAGTCAATTCTGACTCACAGTGACCCTATAAGATGGAGTAGAACTGCCCCATAGGGTTTCCAAGGAGTGGCTGGTGAATTTGAACCGCCTATCTTTTTGGTTAGGAGCTCAGCTCCTAACCAGTGTGCCACCAGGGCTCCCCAACTACAGTAGTCCAGGTAAATAAGTATTTACTGGATTAACTCTTGGTGGTACTAGGTCCATAAAACCATTATTTTACACTTTCCAGAAGGCTATTGTCCCGGAAGGTATGAAGGCTATTAACGGAAGCAATCCCCCCCTCCCAAAAAAAAGGTATCGAGACCAGGCCATTCTTTAGAAGACTATATCTAACCCTCCATCTGTTCTGTTACAAAAAAAAAAAAAAAAAAATTGAAGAGCGCAGTCAGTACCACCATTGCCATGAAAGGGATGTCACAACATCCAAGACAGTGTCAGGGAGTCACCAAAGACACCTCCAGAAATATGTCAATACTAGAAATGAGTCTTTCTGATGAGTCGAGGCAAGTTGAGAACCAAAGCTACAAAAACCTGGCATTACCTCTACAACACACTAAAAAAGCCCAAAATCTAGTCTACTCTAAATCTGGTAAGTAACATAGACAAGGTCTGTCCTGGAAGCATCTTAATTGAGAGAAATGCCTCCATTCACGGCACTCCCTGGTTAAAAAACAGCAATGGTATCAACTAGTCAGGCAACCATCTCAAGTAAATAGTCTTTGGGGGTGGGAAGGGGGACTGGATAGTTCCTATCAGAATTTCTTTTAATACTCTAGCGTCATAAAGGGAAGACAGTATAGCTTTACAATTCTGTTAAATGAAATCGACTGGACTGCTGTCAAATAAGAAGTTAAGAAAAACTGCATCAGCATTATTACAGGATAAACACACAGAATGCCAGCCTACCAACTGGCATTTCTTTTTCTGATTTAAACTTCAAGTTTATATAGCTAGTGTCCCTTTCTATTTTCCCTAGTGTTTGGTATTTAGTAAATATGATAAACACCATTAGAACTGAGATTAGGAATGAGCTCAGCACTCATGCACAGAGTTCATATAGATTCTAGCTAAAAACCAGGGCAGGCTTAAACCAGTTTCCTGAGACAAGTGCCCCAAGGCACTCCTGTCTCTGAGCTATTCCAAGCTCACCCTCAAGTTTTGTTTTTGTTTTTTTTAATACTGGAAAGGTCATATTCTCGCTCTCTCTTATTCACTTAAAGGAGCATTTCACCTTTGAGTAGTCAGAATTACTAATGTAGTTGGCTTGTCACTGTCTGGCATGAGTAATCTTTACTGAGATGCCTGATTAACTAACTAATTAGAAGTACACATTTTTTAATCTTCCTTTTGACAGTCCTAAAGGTCTACAAGGACAGACAATTATTCTTCTGAGAATAGTCCAAGCTGAAACACACACACACACACACACACACACACATATACACACACAGATGATCTCCTAAGATTTTCATTCCAGGCAGATAATTCTACATACCTGCTTTCTTTGTTATAAATGACTGTTATCAGGGGAAAAAGAATTTCCTATAATAATAGTATATATATTTTATTTCTGGTTGACTTTTCTTAACTCAAGACTAATGGAAATTTTACATATTAGAGTGGTTAAACATTTCCATTTCAATGAAGACATGGGCTTTCCTTCACAAATTTTTATATATTTCCTGCAATGTTATTATCATCATAATTCTCATATTACTTCATAATTTAAAACCATTTTAAGTACATACCTTTGCCAATTTAGGTTTCTGGGCATATTTCGTTAAATTCAGTCTAGATAAATTTATAAAAGGTCCATCAGGATTTGTAAGCATGGAGGCCTAAGTGGAGGAAGGAAATAATAGAACATGAAATTTGAAACTTTCTCTAGAAAAACATAAATTAAGTTTAATGTGCATAAAAATTATAAAGGCAAAATAAATAAAAAGTATCACCTTCTAAACATTTCCATATAATTCTCCACTATAAGAATAGTGAAAAATGGTAACATGACATAAAGTTACTTTGATAATACAAAGCTACAGCAAAGCGGACAGAACTTACTGTTCCCAGTCTGACAAATCTCCCGGATGAGCTAGTAATAGGACGAGCTGTGTAGGCAGTTCTGGGTGTTCTGATGGCCTGTTCCATAGTGCCTGGCCTTCCACTTTGTGTGCTGGGCCTAAGGAAACCTGTAATGGGTCTTCCAGCTTGAGTGACTGGCCTGTAAAGATTGTCAACTGTTTTAATACAAAGATCATAAAGTAAAGGTTCTCATATAGTCTGGTCCATATTTAGAGGCAGAAGGTATGAAATAAAAGTACATACCTGACAGCTTGACTAGGCCCTCCTGTCTGATTAGTTCCAGGGAGTTTCAAAGATGTTCCAGGGCCTACAAGATGAGGTGGCAAACTCAACTTATATATTATTTATTGATTAATCTCTAAAAACTGTCAGCTAATACAATGATCAGAATTGTGCTCTCCTGGTGAAAAAGACACTACTATCAAGAAATATATTTTAAGAAAATGTGTTTGAGACTAGTATTTATTACCTAACATGTTACTTATGCTATCATATTTAATCCTCACGTGTCTGTAAAGTTGGTGGTATTAACCCATTTTACACAGGTTCTGAGAGTTAAGTAAACGAGTCAATCTGTTAGTAGGGCTGGGATTCAGACTCCAGACTAGTGCGCTTCAAAGCTCAAAAGTATGTTTCAGGAGCAGATTAACCAGTAAGCAAGGTATGCATGGACTTACTTGTGCTTACTTACTAATCTGTAGTGAACAATTTCACCTCTTTTTCACCACATGAAAGATGTGGTGAAACCCATGTGAAATTGTTCACTACAGATTAGTAAGTAAGCACAAGTAAACCCGTGTGTACTTTGCTTACTGGGTAATCTGTCCATTTTATACCTATAATTCATGTTATTTTTCATACAAACTTCTTCTCCCTACAAAAGATCATTTACCCACAATATTAATGAATTAAACATTTTAACTCCAAAAGAGCAAAATGATCAGGGGAAAAAAGATATTTTAATATGAAACATATGTATTTTTTTTCCTCTTTTTCCATTTGAAGGTTTAAAACAGCTATTACCTTCCAAAAGATGTAAATGACCGAGAACTTTCACAACTAATAAATTACAGTAAGACCACTATGTGTCATGGTAATTGTCAAATGCCACTCACACCAGCACACCTGTATCTTGAGGACTGGGCCTCTGTGACAATCAGTCTCTCAAAGTACAACAAATCACCTCATCATCCCACTCAGGCACTAGAGGAAATCATTCTTCAATTATCCCAATGAAGTGACATTTTCCAATGACCATTTTTTTTAAAATCCTTTTAGAATGCTTCTGTAGTTCTAATGCTTCTTGTGCTTAAATTCCTAGATAAACCATCATCTGCTATTTTAGATGAGCAGATGAATAGAACACATTTTTATACAATACGTTTACATGTCCCTGGGTGGTAGAAATGGTTAACATGCTCAGCTGCTAACCAAAAGGTTAACGGTTCAAGTCCACCCAGAGATGTGTGCCTCAGAAGAAAGGCCTGGTGATCTACTTCCCAAAAATCAGCCAATGGAAACCCTATGGAACACAATGCTACTCTGACATACATAAGGTCACCATGAGTTGGAACTGACTCGACAGCAACTGGAAAATACAGCCTTCATTACAAAATAGTTATACACCAACCTCAAACCTTAAGTTTAATAAGATAATTGAACTGTGGAAGGAAAGCCTAAGGCAGAATAAAGACCTCTTACTTGAGGTAATGTTTTGTTTCATGAATGTACCATTAAGGTATTCTCCTCCTAACGGCATTTCATTTACTTAAATGAAAAATCAGTACTTACGTGGAACTTGAGCAATAGCATTTTCATCCAGCATCATTTCTGCAATTCCTTCCTGATATACATCAATTTCATCTACATATACCATTTCAGTTAGGGCTCGTGCTTTTAAAATCCAAGCAGCCTAAAAACCAGGGAGAAAATAAAACACACATTAAATGGCTTTAGCAATACTGCATAGCTGCTAGAAGCCTAGTCATACTTTCCTTATTTTTTTATTAAACATGTTTCCCACTTAACGTATTGTACTAATTTAAAGGGCCATGTCAAGAAACTCATACAAGCAGGCAAGATTATTATTAACTAAGAAACAATCAATGTATCAATTACTAGTAAATAACAGTGTGGTAATTATCTGGTAGTCTTTAACATTCCTTTTTATAAGTTAAAGATTGCAAGAGAAAATGTTACTAGAATAATCATTTGAAGACAAATGAATAAGCTACAACCACAGTGTTCTTTCTACCTTCCTCCTTCAGGGCCAAGTCTTTCATGAAGCCCTCCTGATCTGATCCTTCAACTCTGAAACTACTTCCCGATCGTCTTTCTCATGGAGCATTCTCTTTACACCTCTATTATTATGCACTTACTATATCTCACAAACACTATAAATATCTGGGTACATGTTAGCTCCTCCCCTTCCCCAGAATGCAAGCTTTTTTACCTTGTTCACTTTGGAATTTTCTGCAACATCTATAGTTTTTATACATAATAGGTATTCAAAAAAATGTTGCTTGAACTGAATTAAGATCTATTTCTCCCAATTCCCAATACCTAATCAACACAACATTGGTTTCTTGGTGATCTAGTCAGTAGAGAACTGTTAGAGAACGCAAAAAAAAAAAAACAACGGAAAAGGTAATTAAGGAGTCTGACCTGGAATATATCTTATCAGCCTTGCTCTGGCTTGAAAAATTAGATGTAAAGATGTGCACGATTAAATTTCTTGTTAAACACATGAAACTCGTTATCAGAAAGTTTACCTTTTTGCGTCACTACAGAATAGAAGCAGCTAAAATAACAGAGCTCGATGTCCGTAGGGGGTTTGGGGAGAAGGCGACTCTTGAAGTAGCAGCATATAACACAGAGGAAATGGCAGTGTGGGATTCTGGGGAGGAGCTAGGGCTCAGCATGCAGGGACATGGCTGTGCAGTAAATTGAAGGCGAAAGCACGGAGAGGAACAGATGAGATCTACAGGAGGTCCAGAAAGTCCTGATGGAAAGAACCTGAGATCCATTCACTTAGTCAGTCTGTATGTATTGAGCACCACCGAATTATATCGCATCAGGCTCAGTTCTGAGGAGGAAACAAGATCAAAACATGGATCCTAATTTCCCTGAATATATCACCTACTGGATCAAATGACAAGGCAAAGCAGTGTGTGATTAGATGACAAGTGTGTCATACAGAAAATATGTTTTAAAGGAATTAAAAAGGAGAGATTCATTTATGGGCTTAAGTAATCAGAATGCAGGTATAAAATTTTAAAAAAAGAACAAAGAAAAACGTTTTGGTCTTCACACTTCCATTTTCATGGGAAAAAAGAAGGCTGCTGTTACAATGTATTTAAGTCCCTAACGTGACAGAAACCCCCCTAAGGAGCATTTCTACTCTGTCCTATAGGGTCGCTACGAGTCGGAATCGACTTGATGGCAATGGGTTCGGTTAATGTGACATTACATTTGGTTAGATGACTGGTTTTATAGGCTTGCATCTTCTGGCTGATGTTTATTGGACTCTGATTAGATAATTTATAATTAAATATTTCAGATACCATGTGTGAATTTAACACAACTGAATGAGCAGAATATAATCAGTTCTAAATGGAATTGCATCAAACTGTGACAGTCACCAAAGTGTAGAAAAAATCTGAAGTTTTCACTCGTAAAAGATCAGGAAAGATGCTCGATCTATACGTACAGCTATTCCCAGGGGAGAGGGGGGTCGTCACTGGCGTGGACTAATGGTTTAACTTAATGTCAAAGATGGAAACAAGCCCTCCTGATTTATTTTAAATCCCCACAGTTCATACCACCCTGCAAGTATCCAACAGCTTTCCTTTTTCAAAAGGGCATTCTTTGTTCAGCACCCTCTGGTGGACAGGGAGAATGACTGCAGCATTTTCGGCTGAAACGGTAAAGCAGGAGGTGGGCTCCACTGGTTCATTCCCATATTATCAGGGCACACCTACTGCATGCCAGGTCCTGGGAATGTGAAGACGAAGCCACAATCGTAGTTCTAGCTCTAAGGAATTTCAGTGTGATATGGAAAGTGTAATAATAAAAATCATAGTGTGCCATGGGAGAGCAGAGGAAAGGCACCCTGCTCCCTGGGGGTACAAGGAGGGGTATGAGAAGCATTTGGCCCAGTGGCCAAGACAGAGGAGCATGTGCCAGGCAAAGGGAACAACACGGCAAACGCAGGCTAGCTGGAGTATTCACGAGTGTTTGGAAACTCCGAATAGTTGCGTATAGTTGAAGGGTGAGGTTTAGCTGAGGGATCAGTAGGAGAAAAAGCTAGAGAAAAGGTAGGGGCCAGACAGTGGATCTTGTATGCCATAACGAGGTTGTTGTTGTTTTGTTGTTAGGTGCTGTTGAGTCGTTTCTGACTCACACACACTCTACACACAGAAACACCGGTCGGTCTTGCACCATCCTCACAATCATTGCTATGTTTTGAGCCCATTGTTGCAGCCACTGTGTCAATCCATCTCAAGGGTCTTCCTCTTTTTCGCTGACCCTCTACTTTACTAAGCATGATGTCCTTCTCCAGGGACTGGTCCCTCCTGATAACATATCCACAGTACATGAGATGAAGTCTCTAGATCCTCACTTCTAAGGAACATTCTGGTTGTACTTCTTCCAAGACAGATTTGTTCATTCTGCTGGCAATCCATGGTATACTCAATATTCTTCGCAATACCATAATTCAAATGCATCAATTCTGCTTCAGTCTTCCTTATTCACTGTCCAGCTTTCGCATGCAGATGAGGTGATTAAAAATACCACGGCTTAGGTCAGGCACACCTTAGTCCTCAAGGTGACATTTTTATGTTTTAACACTTTAAAGAGGTCTTTTGCAGCAGATTAACCCAATGCAACGTGTCGTTTGATTTCTTGACTGCTACTTACATGGGTGTTGACTATGGATCCAAGTAAAATGAAATCATTGACAACTTCAATATTTTCTCTGTTTATCATGATGTTGCTTATTGGTCCAGTTGTGAGGTTTTTGTTTTATGTTGAGGTGTAATCCATACTGAAGGCTGTAGTCTTTGATCTTCATCAGTAAATGCTTCAAGTCCTCTTCACTTTCAGCAAGCAAAGTTGTGTCATCTGCATATTCAGGTTATTCATGAGTCTTCCTCCAATCCCGATGCCATGTTCTTCTTCATAGTGAGCTTAATGTGTCTTCTTCATAGTGGGCTTAAGTACATGGATTTTTTTAATCCTGAGAGTGAGGAGCTATTGAAGCTTCAGAAGTATCATTTTTGTAGTCCCAGTTAAATCAACTTTTTAAAAGCCAAGTTTTTATAATTACAGTATCATTTATATAGGCAATTATTAATTATCCAGGTACACAGTTTTTTATTATTTTCACGTCTATAGAGTTATCTCCCACCACTCATCTGTTAGTTTGTCAGTTTGCATTGGGCAAATCTGCTGCGAAAGACCTCTTTAAAGTGTTAAAAAGCAAAGATGTCACTTTGAGGACTAAAGTGTGACTGACTCAAGCCATGATGTTTTCAATTGCCTCATATGCATGCCAAAGCTGGACAATAAACAAGGAAGACCAAAGAAGAATTGATGCATTTGAATTATGGTGTTGGTGAAGAATATCGACTATACCATGGACTGCCAGAAGAAAGAACAAATCTGTCTTAGAAGAAGCACAGCCAGAAACGAGGATGGCGAGACTTCATCTCATTTATTTTGGACATGTATGTTATTAGGAGGGACTAGTCCCTGGGGAAGGACATCATGCTTGGTTAAATAGAGGGTCAGCGAAAAAGAGGAAGACCCTTGAGATGGATTGACACGGTGGCTGCAACAATGGGCTCAAACATAGCAACAACTGTGAGGATGGCACAGGACCGGGCAGTGTTTCATTCTATGGTACACGGGGTCGCTAGGAGTCGGAACCAACTCGATGGCACCTAACAACAACAGTGTTAACTCGCAGCCTAATCCATCAGGTTTCTTGACATTTATCCTCCTACTAACTTCTTAAATACAAGGAGGCACAAAATTTTTACATTAGCCTCTGCAAAACATAGAAAAATAAACCAATATTCCCTCCGCACCAACTGAATAAAGACTTCAGAAGTCAATAGCAGCTTTTTAATATATTTCATCCCATAAGAATTCAGTTTTTCAAGAAAGTAAATAGATCTATATTTGTTTCAATGTCTATCAGTATTCCACTAATCTCAAAATCTTATTCTTAATATATAGGAATAACGGTTTGAAATTTTTTGATTCTTAAAGATCTGTAATAAAGTCTACTTAACACCATTTTTCAATTCTAAATTTACCAGTGTTTGAGATAGATAATTTTCCCGGCTTTTCTTCTGTCCTAGCAAAAAAATGACCTTGAAAATCACATATCACTGCTTGATTACACATCAGATTGTATTCAAAGAACTGCTCCTGGTAATGTGAAAAACTCTTGAGATTTTAATGAAAACAGCAGATGGGGCTTTGGCTTTAACATAATATAGAATTTTTATTTTGGAAACAAGCCAAGTATGTTTTACAGTCCTAAAATCCTCTGTTTTAAAAAAAAGTTCAAAACTAACTGGGGATTAAAATAAAATGCATAAGAAAGCATACACAATAAACCTAAACTGCCCTTGAGTCTGAATAAAAATATAAATTGGTTTTACCAGATACCACTAACTTGTTAATAGATGGCTAGGGTCATGCAGTTTAAAAAATAGTTCTTTATGTAAATACATTTGAATATGTATTGGAAGTATTTACACGGTGAAATCTGTTAAAAAAAAAAAAAAAGAGGTTATATACCTAGTAACCTTTTTGTAAAAGCATAGATGAGTAATCATCACATCAATTATTTCACTCCTTAATCTGTGAAACATAATCCCCTCTCATTCACATACTGAGTCTATATTACTCTTAAGGCAAATACTTGCCAGCTAGCATCAGTAAATACTGACTTACTCCTCTACCTTCTGTAAGGCTAATCCAATTACAGTTATGAAAATAAACATATGAAAAGGTAAAAACTCTACTACTCTACTGAGCAAAACATGTTTAAAGTGTTCTGTTGCTGTTCAAGGCCAGTAGTTTAAGGCATATACCCACTGCCATTGAGTTGATTCCAACTCATAGAGATCCTACAGGACAGGGTAGAACTGCCCCATAGGGTTTCCAAGGTTATAAATCTTTACAGAAGCAGAATGCCACATCTTTCTCCCTCAGAGCAACTAGTGGGTTTGAACCGCCGACTTTCTGGTTAGCAGCCGAGAGCTTTAACCACTGAGCCAGCAAGACTCCTTTAAGGCACATAGGAAACAATTTTGCTAAATTATTCTTAGAATAAGGCTACTGGAAAAACAAGTCTGTCTGATCTGATTTAGACATCTAAGAATCAATAACATTTAACGCTCTGCCTTACTCTTTGAAAACAGAAATACAGGCACAAAATATTGAAGTGTTACTGTAAAGCGTCATTTCTTTTGAAGTTGTAAAAATACACAAAAAAAAAACCCAAAAGCATAATAAAAAAAAAAAACCAAACACATTGCTGTTGAGTCTATTCTAACTCATAGCAACCCAAAAGGACAGAGAAGAACTGCCCCATAGGGTTTCCAAGGAGCAGCTGGTGGATTCGAACTGCCGACCTTTTGGTTCGCAGCCGAGCTCTTAACCTCTGCACCACCAGGGCTCCAAAAACATAACAGTGAGTTCAAAAGAATCCAGTTAGTCTTGTTCTCTTTTTATTCTTTTAGATTTACAGCCCAGTTATCTAAAGTCATCTAGTTCTAAAATAATTAAGTCTGTAGTAACTGAAGAGGAAAGTAATACTAAATCAGGTTCTTCATGAAGCCCCTGTGCTAGTTTTAAACTTTTAAGTGCCATTTACAGTTTTTAAACCATACCTACAATGCAAATTATTGATGTTTTAATTTATACTAAATTTAATTGTAATCAAAATCTTCTAAAATTATTGAAAACAAAAGTCACATTACTTCCTCTATTTATAAATTAAATCCTTCTTGAATGACATGTACTCATAGTATATAAAAAATGCCCACTTGTCAGTTTATAAATCATGATTATGAACATTCAAAGGTAAATGTCATCCTTTTAAGGAACAGAGTGCCACATTTTAACCTATTTACAGTGTCTGTTTACACTACACAGTAAGAGTACTTTGTACATTGCTTTCTTCTAACAGACTCGATGGTCACTCATCTGAGCCCCACATGAAAAGTTCAAATAATTTATTTATATAAAAAACACTTAAAATTCTATCCGACTTGGCAGGGCAAACACTTAGCAATGTTTAAGCTCTCTGATTTACAGCTTTCCACATCCCTCTTATTCCCAGACTCACTGGGAACCCTCCTGGGCTAAAAGTTTCACTGGTCAGGCGTCCCCCTAGCAGATCTCCTTTCTCCCAGCACTCCCTCCCAACTCACTGGCTAACTCATCCAGTTAGCAGGTCTGTCTGGCTGCCTGCCATCCACACCAAAATTGACTTGGTGGACACAGCTGGCTGGCCAGAGTCCCTTCCTCCCTCACTGCTGCAGACTCCTCCCTCTTGGAGCTGCCAGGTCAGTTAAAATTAAGACCTTTCCAAGCAGAGTCGGACTACTCTTCACTCAGCACATGCTGTCCTAGCTACTGCAGTCTTTTCAGGCACTTGTGACTCTCCTGACCACTTGGCTCCCTTTCTAACTAGGCCCATGATTCCCCTTGCCTCCTTCTTGATTTTTCTCATCCTTCTGGTCAATCATAGATATTTCTATTTAAGCTCCAAGTCTTAATAAGGAGAGTATATTAGTTTTGCAAGGCCACTCACATACACAAAAACCAAAAAACAAAACAAAACAAAACAAAACTGTTGCTGTTGAGTCAGACTCATAGCAACCCTACAGGACAGAGCAGAACTGCCCCATAGGGTTTCCAAGGAGCGGCTGGTGGATTTGAACTGCCGACCTTTTAGTTGTAGCTGAGCTCTTAACCACTACACCACCAGGGTTCCCATATATATACATGTACTGAAAAATGTAATAGTTTACATAAGGTAAAGAATGTGTGGTATGTACACATAAAAAATGTGATATGACAAACATTTTGTTACATATATACTTACCACAATTTAAAAAAAAAGGTAGGTATGGCTAATATTATAACATCACAAAATAGATATGCAGCAAATTTTCTGATCTATAGCAACAACTAAGCAATAGTAACTAAGTATTCTCTAAGCTAAAGGTTGCAGCTAAACTTTTACCTGAGACACTGGCAATTCAGGATCTGGTTCCTGGAAAGCAGTAAGAAGGCAGTAAACATTTTTAAGAAATATAGTTTCTAAAATAAAAGGTTTCTTAATGGCTAACCAAGTATTTGTAGGTAGAGTCAAACGGACTCAATAAAAAACCCAAATATTAACTTTAACCTTTCTCCACAAACGTTCCTCATAGTTCTATAAAACTAACATATACTGAACAGTGCTACATTTTCTATAACAAAAAAATTCTAATTAATTTAACCTCATTCAGAGGACGAAAAGAAGGTATCTTAACTACTTGTTCAATGAAAACAAAAAATCTGAGCAATTAAAAATAATTTCACAACTATACCGAAGAGACATTTCTTTATATTCACACCTAACTTCATGGGGGTTAAAACATTCAGATTTCAACCAGTTGGGGAAAAGGAAGGAAATTCATATACTAGCAACCTTCTATTCTACATGAACATAATGGGATTACAGACTGAAGATAAATTAATTCTAACGATAATGTCCTCTGGGAAGTTTTCATAAAAAGACTATATGCGTCAAAATTGACTCGATGGCAACACGTTTGGTTCTTTGGTTTCAACATACATTAGTGCCAGGCACTGATACACTGGATTTTTTTTTTTTTTTTTTTTTTATCTCTAGCCATGTTTTATTGGAGAAATTACTAAAAAACAGAAAAAAAAGAAAGAAAATCCTTGCTTTCCACAGCTCTAAAACCCAAAATGATACCCCAAGTCTTTTTTAAGAATATATTATCTGTAAAAGTAATGTGCAAATCATATGGTCACCATGCAAGGATAAGCAATTTATGTAGCATGACACATGCTAAACACGTGAGAGGAAAAGGCTAGGCGAGGCTGGAACGAGCCCCAGAGGGTGGGATTTAGGGAAGATTTAGCGATCAGTTCAATCGAGCACAAAACAACTAGAGAACACAGAGCTATTACAGGTTTTCAACTCCAGCGTGCAAAGAAGGACCTGGAAGAAGTACAGATTTCCCAGATCCTACAGTCCATACCTAGAGAAAACACTGATACAGGGAGTGACATGACAGGTGAAAGAAGTAACCCCTTTCCCTCTGTTTTGCCCGACGTCATAGCACTTTCTATGCTTTCTTCTATTTATTTTGTCTACACATCTGCATGGCCCCTTATCTCATTTGAGTCTCATCACAACCATCTGAGGTAGGCAGAAAAGTATCTACCCATTTTATCGATAGGGAAACAAACTGGGAGATGTTAAGTAATTTATTCATGGTCACACAGACAGCTGAGATAAGCCAGAAGCTTTTTCTTGACAGTGCATCTTGGAGATAAAAAAAAATAATTAATTAAAATTTTAAAAAAACGAGTTGGATAGAGCTGAAGAGTAAAGGAGACAAGAGCCACCGATACTAAGTAAAGCTGAATGCTTGTTATTGTGCTGAGGGCTGGAAGATTCCACCAGTGACCCAAACGGAAACAGCCAGCTGAGCCTCAGAGGACCCTGTTCACTGATGAATGCCCTCTTGTTCTGTCGTGTTCTTCTGCCCCTCAGGAACACAATTACAATTTACCACACAGGTGAAGAGCATGGAGGGAAATGAGAAGATCAGAGAGGAGAATAAGAGAACTAGAGAATGGATAGTAAATGGGGGGGGGGGCCACCCACCCTGGTGGTGCACCCACCCTGGTGGTGCAGTGGTTAAGAGCTCAGGCTGCTAACCAAAAGGTCAACAGTTCAAATCCACCAGCCACTCCTTGGAAACCCTATGAGTCAGAATACACTCAAATGGCAACGGGTTCCTTTGTTTTTGTTTTCTTAGAGAATAGGGAGGTGTAGAGAGACAAGTGAGAGGATGGGTGGGTGGATGGAAGATGGATACAAGGTCTGAACGGGTGTGAGGCAGAGAAGACATGAATTCCACGACAACCACTGAGCTCCTGGCATCCCGGGTACCCTGCTAGGCATGAGAACACAAAGATGAGGAAGACATAGTGCCTCTCTCAGAGGAACTCACATCCTTGGGAGAAGACAGATAAACAAATTGTAATACAATCATGTTAAATGCTATTCTCAAGTAATACACAAAATGTAAATGACCTAGAAGGAGGGAAGAAAAGCGGAAGTTAATGTTAGAATGGAGATGAGAAACGAGTCAGAGAAAAGGGCAAGAGATTTTCCTAGAAATTATCAAGTGCCAATGATTTATGAACTATATTCAACATCATTTCACCATCAATTTCACTGGACACTTTCCTTACAAATGCTTTCCAGGTTACCAACAATCCTTTCAGAAAAAGATAAATGACAGACCTCTACACGCAAATCTCTCTAGCTATACAGCATTAACATTTTTGATCATTTACCATGTATTAACTAACTCTTATAACATCCCTTCCAGATAGGTATATTATTATTCCCATTTTACAGATGAAAAATATCTGAGGTCAAGGTGTAGAGCCAGTATTTGAACCCAGATACTCTGGGTCAAGAGCATGCACTTTGCTTAGTATGTGGGATCATAGGAAGGATGGAAAGCAACCTCCTGTAGGGTATGGAAAGACCAAAGTGGTCAGGAGCAGAACTATGAAGGAAGTGTCCGTTAACTGGTTGCCATCGAGTCGATTCCAACTCATAGTGACCCTATAGGACACAGCAGAACTGTCCCATAGGGTTTCCAAGGAGTGCCTGGTGGATTCGAACTGCTGGCCTTTTAGTTGGGGTCATGGTTCTTAACCACTGCGCCACTAGGGCTCCGTGAAGGAAGAGTCAGGATGTTTTAATTTGGAGATATGGCAAAATTAATTTTAAAAAAAATCATTAAGGCCTTCATCTTGGGTGTCTATCAGTTACAGTTTTGTGATGTAAATTAATCCATCTACTTGGTTGAGCAAATTATTCCAGTGGGTGTCAACATATTTGAGTAGAATGCACCAGCCCTGGCCCTGGAGTCAAAAAAAACCTGGGCTTGATCTTCAGGGAGTCACTTACTTGCTGTGTGACCTTGAACAAGTCACACAACCTTCATTACTTAGACCTCCCTTCAAATTAGAGCAATAATGCCTACTGTATAGGTCAGTCTTAGGGACTAATAATAAAACCTTTCATTTTTAAGAATTCTTAATAATTTTCAAAGTTCTTTCACATACACTATCATACTTAATTGAGTGTAAGACAGCAGCACCTTCACAAGGAGTATCAATCACAAAGAGTTTCTCATAAAAACATTTATATAATGTACAGAAGAACACAAAACTCTATTACCATCATCCCTCAGTATCCAAGGGGGATTCGCTCCAGGACCCCTGAGGATACCAAAATATAAGGATGCTCAACCTCCTTATATAAAATGGGCATGCCTGCACATAACCTACACACATCCTCCTGCATGCTTTAAATCATCTCTAGATTACTAAATAATACCTAATACAATGTAAATGATATGTAAATAGTTGTTAGTGTTTACACTTAACGCTTCCTCAGTCTTTGCAAGCACTTTATCACAAACCAGAGAGACCATTTTTGCTTTTTGGAACTTTTTTCCCCCATATATTTTTGAATGGTGGTTGGTTGAATCCATGGATGTGGAACCCATGGGGGGCCCACTGTACTCCCCTTCTCAGAACTCAGAACTAACTACCAGTTATGGCACATCATATTAAAAATTCCCTTTGAATGTCCTTCAAAGTGGCTGAGTAAAAGGGCATGGAAAGTAGACTGGCACTGGCTGAAACCAGAAAACATTCATTAGCATCAACTTCGGTTCACATCAGTTGCTTCCTTCCTTCCTCCCTAGGGTACAGCTTCCTCTTAGACTTTTACTATGACTTCAGAGAATTAGATCTCCACGTAACTCTGAATGTAGCTACCTAATTGCCACCAGTACTTACTCTCGCTAATGAGTCTACCCAGCTCCACTCCTAAACTAGTAGTTATTAAGAATTCTTTCCAGGAGGGAAAAAATGTAAGAGAATAAAGAAATGGATGGATTCCAAAGGGAAGGGAGATCCAGTAATCAAGCAGCCAAGTGGGAATGTAACTCATATAATACAGCAGGAACACAAGTTCATAAAATGAACTGTCCTGCAATGTATAGAATCACAGGATTAAATCTGGCTAAGTCTCTGTGGCCCCAAAGAGGAAACAGATAATCATCCCAGGAAGTTTTTTGGCTTGGATCACCACATTATTGTCTCCACCAACTACTAACATATACAGCTCACTAGGAAGCCCTGGTCCCACATCTTTCATCTAAGCCAGTGGCTTTCAGACTCTTCTCCACTTTCAAATCACTTACAGTAATAACCCCCTCCTTTCTGTAACATTGTAAGCAGAGATAGGGAAGGGTGGGGAAAGGAGGAGAATATGAATTGGAAAAGTTCTTACCCCCATTCTGATATACAGCTAACCCTCCCAATCCCAGAATCACTCATTTTAATAATCTGAAAATCTATCAGGCATCTTCCCCACTGACGAAAGCATGTTGTCTTTGAAAAAACCCTGGTGTCTGAAAAACCTGCATGTTTTATATACTGCTTAATTATAACGGAGCTAGAAAATCAGGACTGGTTTTCAGGCCATGGATCTGACATATGGAACACAAAAAACAGTAATCAGATTAAGTAACTAATCGGGATGATCGACATGAGCTGTAGACGCAAGCATTCTCTCTAGGTCATACTGCTGTGCGGTGGATTGTTTTATGCTTCCCCTTTTATACCTTATAACTCTAACCGCTTTCAGTAGGGATTAAAACAAGACTTTGAAAAAAGACAATGTCTTCCTATGAGTTATTCTTCCTGTATCGTATCGAAAAGGGAAAGTATAATCAATTAACCAGTTATTTTATTCTCAACAGATCAGAAGCTGAATGTCCTTCATACTTATAGACCCTGCCCTCTGTCCCTTATCATTTGTGTTTTGGAAAAGCAGTTCAGAATCTATCTTCTTCAAGAATCCTTCCCCATTACCAAGCACCATGTTATTTTATCCAACCTGCCCTTCAGCCCTTTGTGTCTAAATAGAAATTTTACTACTTTGAAGAAACATGCTATTCCACTTTTTATGGTACATCCTCTCTTGCCACCCTAGCTACCTCCCACTCCCTCCAGATTACAAAATGTTTTGCTGGCAAGAATCAAAAATAAAATCCAGATGTCCCAATAGAAATCACAAGGCACTAATTAAATATTTCTGATGCTACTATACCAAAAGTGCGCCCCTTTTAAGGGGAACTGAATGTAGATGAAAGAGTCATAGAAGTGGGCTTCACTCGAACAGGCTGATGTCTCAACAGGACTGAAACATTATCTCCATGAAGCTGCCTGGACCAGCCTTAAGAAAAAGATTAATGAATGAAAAATCACTTTTGAGAGATTCTCCTCATCAGGGAGGAAAACAGGCAAAACCAAAAGTGAAAAAATAACGTTATTCAAAACAAAAGCTATCTGTAAAATCAAGAGCAAAAATGAATCCGTTTGGCACTCAGAAGAAACATTTTCATTTCCTCGTCTTTCTAGGCATCCAGGCATTTCATCAAAGTCATTCACTCACAGTAAAATCAGTTTGGAGGCACAGGAAAAGTACTCTACTTTAAAATGTAGCAGCCTCAGCAAAAGCCCATGTGGATAAAGGAGCTCGCAGAGGTAAACCAGCTAACTGCGCTAAGGACCATCTGCTTCTGCTCTGACATGTTAGCTCTGTGACCTCAGAGGCTGTGAGCTACTCCATCATTCAACTTCCGCCACTGAAACAATGAGAGCACCATAAAAAATAACAATGATGATAACGACTGTTACAAACACTCTCTTGGAGGAAACCAGAGATTTTAGAACTAATTTTTTTAAATTAAAAAAAAAAAAAAAAAACTGACCCTCAAAACAAGAAATGAATTGAGAATGCTTATAATCAATTTCATTTATTTGAAAAGGTAAATATACACCTTAAAAAACCAAACCCGTTGCTGTCAAGTCAATTCCAATTCATAGCGACCCTATAGGACAGAGCAGAACTGCCCCACAGGGTTTCAGAGGAGCAGCTGGTGGATGTGAACTGCCCACATTTTGGTTATCAGCCAAGCTCTTAACCACTGCACCACCAGGGCTCCAAATATACACCTTAGAACCTACCAAAACCCATTGCCATCAAGTTGATTCTGACTCACAGCAGCCCTATATCAGAAAAGTTGGCAGTTCAAACCCATCCAGAAGCCCTTCAGAAGAAGAGCCTGGCAATCTCCTTCTGAAAGGTCACAGCCATGAAAACCCTGTGGAACGCAGTTCTGCTCTGAAACACATGGGGGTCACACATGGGTTGCCATGAGTCAGAATCCACTTGACGGCAACTGGTTTAAACTTTGGACAACGTATTTTACCTTGTGCCTCAGTGTGCTCAATCTGTAAAATGGGGGGAACAGCAGTAGCAACTTCCTCAGATTGTTAAGAATTAAATAACAATATGTAAAACCCTTCAAACCACCAAGATTGACACATTAAATGCTCAATAAATGTTAACTATTATTTTTGTTACCTCTTTTGCAAGGTTATTATAAGCTTTAGACATACATGTCATTTACAGAACTTATGCTTGACATCCACTGATCTCTCAATAAAAGGTCACAATTTAGCACATATAAAGTGCCGATCACAGTGCCTAACACCAACTAAATCTCAATTCATAGGTGCAGTACTGAAGGTCACTGTGGACTAAAGACTAAAACCAAAAAAACTAAACTCACTGCCGTGGAGTCGATCCCAACTCAGAGCGACCCACCCTGGGTTTCCAAGGCTGTAAATCTTTACGGAAGCAGACGGCCACACCTTTCTCCAGAGGAGCCACTGGTTGTTTCGAACCACTGATCTTCCGGTTAGCAATCGATCGCTTTAACCACTGCACCCTCAGGGACTCATGACTATAGGGTCTTAAATCAATAAAAACACTGCTGCTTTGCCTATGAGTTTTTCTCTAAGTGGCAACATCTCCCACAGGATGATAATGAGGGAGATATCTGCCCCTCTGCTCCAAAAAAAGGAATCAGTGGTCAAGTAAATTTCAGAACTATTGGATTAATCAAAATAAGGCAAGTTTCTTTCCTTTAGAACTTCTCGGAATCTTTGAGAATGCATCTTGAATCTCTAAGAAGAAAATATACATTTCCCAAACGCATTGAATGAGGAAACTTTGTTCCACTGAGCAGCACTTGGGACTAGTGTTCTGTGGAACACAGAATGGAACTACCCTAATTCAGTGGAAAACTGGAAACAGCGTGTAAAGTCCTTGTAAACGACTGTGCCCAGAACAGTGTCTCGGACATCAAAGGTTCTTAACACGCTTTTGTACAAATGTAACCAATGTGTACAAAAGAGTCAATACTTCATCACAGTTTTTGATCATGGAATTTCTTTTTATTTCATTTTATTTATTTATTTAACAGCATCGTGTGGAACTACTGTGGCAAAGAACGTACTTGGAAAAACGCTTGTGTACAGAAACAAACTTAACCCAATTCCTATTAACTAACATGAACAGAACCTAGCTTAGCAATACCATCAAAACAGACTGTTACAGGCGAGATGTACTATCCTAAGGACAAAACGTTCACCTCAACAGGTTATGTTCTATCCATTTGCTGGGAGCTAAGGCGGAGCCTAGTAAAAGTCTTCTCACTCTTACCTCTGCTTTTCTAACTCCCTTCCTTTTTTCCTAACATGTCCAAGGCAACACTATAGAGAAAAAGCTAGGAAACTAGAACTATGTAAACACATTCTGCATTTACTAGAAGCAATGACAAACGGCCACAGCTCAGTTCCTATTCTTCTGTTTGCTCCTTTTTGCCTCTGTCAGGAGCTACCTGCCAAATCGAGTTGTACCTCTCACACACATAGTATATGACCTTTTCATTCACTATATACAATATTACTGTAGTTTATGTAAATTCTCTTTTAATCAACTCCATTATTCTGTCTCCAAGGGGAACTTTCTTTCCCATCCCTCCCCCCTACAATTATAGCTCCCTTGCCCAGGTAATTTCCTTAATAATAAATGTATCTTTCCCCCTTCTAGTTTCATTACTCTAATTCTCATATTTGCCTCAAATTGCACTCATGGCCCCAGAATCAAAGGCTCCTCCATTCTTGAACAACGTCTGAAGATGAGCTAGGAGAACACGTTTGATCCAAAAGAAAAAAACACCGTTATTTTAAAAGGGGTGGGGAGTTACATGTCTTCATGTTTAAACAAATTCTTTAGAAATTAATAATGCACACCCTGCAAGTTTAAGAGCCCATTCATGTGCAAGTATAATGGCATTATCAAAATTCCTCAATAAAATAAAACTCAGGGCTCTCACTTTGGGACACTTAAAGGAAGGGGCTGCAGAAGTTTGAGGAGGGGGCTGTGAGGGCACAGCAGTCTTAAGCCCCCGCGGTCGGTGCTGGCAAGGACACGCTAGCCGTGGCTACGTGGGGGTCTCACTCCAGGCGTCTCTGCGGACCGTACGGTAAGCCTCGCCCTGGGCCTTACTCCCTGGACTCCCCACCCGGGAACCGGAGGACTCCCTTCAGCTCCCAGCCTCATCTCCGGGATCCACGGGCCTGACGGGGTCTGCGGGTACCTGGTCATAAGGAGACTTCTCCAGCATCTGCGTGCATAGATCGGCGCAGAGCTGGAATTTCCTGCGCCTGAAATAGCTCCAGGCCAGGAGCAGCGGCTCCATCTCCCGGCCCATGGCGGCAGCCGACAAACCCGCGCAGGATCCCGGCCGGGGCCAGGGAAGGCGGAGGAGGGGACCAGACGGCGTCCAGCTCTGCCCGGCAACGCGCGGCGGCAGGGGCCTTGCCAGGGCGGCACCTGCATCCTGCCTGAGAACAGAAAAAAGAAAAACCACCGCGAGCAGGACTCAACGATGGGGTTTGCCAAAGCTTGATCGCAGAAAAATGTGTGCTTTTAAAGACCACAGGTGTCATTCTTTTCGAAAGAAAGACACCTGGGATAAACAAATAGGCAGTAATTTAGACACCTCCGAGCGGGGTCCTTCACTCTCCCTGAGGAGGCGCGGTTGCCTAGCAGCCGAACGCGCTGCTGGGCAGGCGCTAGCCAGGAAAGTCCTGGGATTTGAGCTCTGACCGATGTTGTTTTACTCTTATCCTTGGCACATTATTACTGCTCTCATTTCTTACCCTCCCGAGCCCACAAACATTGAACAGCTTCTTAAATACCATCCCACCCATCAGGACCCAAAGCCCCAATCCTAAAACTCTCTCGCCTCTTTCTCAATGTCCTTCTCATCGAATCTCAAGGTCTGACTTGAAAAGGGCTTTAGAGATTACTTAGTCCAATACACTCGTTGTACAGATGAGAAACTGAGATAGACTCACAGACAAGAAATTACCTAAAGTCACTTGGAATTAGGAAGCTGGGCCTGTAATCCCGGTGACTACTTGACTACATCGACTAATTGACGATGATTAGGGATTTTGGATTATAAATTGGTGACATTGTTACCAAACGAGAATACATATAAAAGAAACTTTTCAAAATACTGTATAAATACAGGTACATGCTGTGTGACAAATGCTTACTTGTGCAGTGATTTCTTCAGACACAATTCTGACTTTAGAGATTTACGCAGTTGACAAATATTTTTAATGGTAATAGTTATGAGAAGAGGAGCATGACTGGACTAAATCCAGGTAGACTTTATTATGGAAGACTAGAAGATCTTTTTTCCTTGCTTCCATCCAACTTCAGTGGGAGGGGGAAGAGAGAAGAAACTAATAGTTCGGAACCTTTTGATCAGGTCTAAATCTCCTTTATCTCTGTAGATAAGAAATGAGCTGACAATATTGTTGTTAGGTGTGGTGGAGTCAGTTCTGACTCAGCTATCCTTCGTATGACAGAACGAAATGACTGCACGGTCCTGTGACATCCCCACAATCATTGCTATGTTTGAGACTGTTGTTGCAGCCACTGTGTCAATCCATCTCCTTGAGGATCTTCCTCTTTTTTTGCTGACCCTCTACTTTACCAAGCATGATGTCCTTCTCCAGGGACTGGTTCCTCCTATAACATGTCCAAACTATGTAAGAGGAAGTCTTCCCATCCTCACTTCTAAGGAGCATTCTGGATGTACGTCTTCCAAGACAAACTTGTTCATCGTTCTGGCAGTCCATGGTATGTTCAATATTCTTCACCAACAGCGTAATTCAAAGCCATCAATTCTTCTTCAATCTTCCTTATTCACTGTCCAGCTTTCAAATGCATACGAAGCAATTAAAAATACCATGGCTTGGGTAAGGTGCACCTTAGTCCTCAAAGTGACATCTTTGCTTTATAACACTTTAAAGAAGTCTTTTGCAGCATATCTGCCCGATGCAATACATCATTTGATTTCTTGATGCTGCATGATAAATGGAGAAAATATAGAAGTTGTCAAGGATTTCATTTTACTTGGATTCATAATCAACGCCGATGGAAGCAGCAGTCAAGAGCTGACAATAGCTCTTCCAAGAAAAAAAAAAAAACTGACTCATAGTGACCTGTAGGACAGAGCAGAACTGCCCCATAAGATTTCCAAGGTTGTAAATCATTTTTTTTTTTTTTTTGCTAGAGCAAATTCTTTTTTCATTTTTAATTGTGTTTTAGGTGAAAGTTTACAGAGCAAAATAGTTTTCTTATAACAATACACAAATTTTTTTGTGACATTGGTTGCCAACCCCACGACGTGTAAACATCCTCCCCTTCTCAATCTTAGGTTCCCCATTTCCATTTGTCCAGCTTTTCTGACCCCTCCTGCCTTCTTGCCCTTGCCCCTGGGTTGGTGTGCCCACTTAGTCTCGTATACATGGTTGAACTGCAAGGCTGTAAATCTTAATGGAAGCAGACTGCCACATCTTTCTATCTTTCTCCAGAAGAGCGGAACCGCCGATCTTTCAGTCAGCAGTCAAGTGCTTTAACTACTGTGCCACCAGGACTCCTGACAATATAGCTCTTACCAAGGATAAATTGAGAAAGATTCTTATAATACCTAAACTAGTCACAATGTTCTCAAGCCACTTGGAAACAAACCATAATGCAGTTATTACATTTCATCCAAATACTTACTGTGTTAAATTTTAAATGCTCTTGTGTAAATTTAGACTATTACCAACTACCTAGACAGAAACAAGATTTTTATAAGTGGGAAAATAAGTAAATAAATATTAAAAATTATTTAGGAGCATATAATCCATCTTAGCTTCTTTCAGAAAGCTTTTTTTTTCCTTCAGAAAAGTCAAGTGGATGAAGAAATTGTTGAATCCTTAGCAAACTGCAAGATGTTAAGCAAATCCTGAAATGTTGCATAAAATAGGCCTTTGTTAAAGGTTATAAACATTTGTTATCTTTAGATCATGTTAATATGCTTATGGTGAAATAATTTTGTGAATTTATAGACTTCGTTGCTTTTTTTTTATGATTTCTAACTAACAATGCAGCAACCATTGTTTAAAAAAAAAAAATGATATGCTAGTGTTAGGAAGGAGCCCTAGTGGCACAGTGATTAAGCATTCAGCTGCTAACCAAAAGGTCAGCAGCTCGAATCCACCTTGGAAACCCTACTCTGGCCTACAGAGTCGCTATGAGACGAAATCGGCTCAATGGCAACGTGTCTGGGTTTGGTTTTTGGAGTGATAAGAAGACTAGTAGCTGTAACAGTTCCTGGTAGAGGGGTAAATAAGAATTTGCACAGAACCCGGCAGCATTTTGTTCAGTTGTGCATGGGGCTGCCATGAGTCCAGGGCCTACATGATGGCAGCTAACAACAATGTTTTCCTATTGGGGAAAATGAAGCGTAGAGAAACAACTTAATCCCCTTGAAAGGGTCAATTTCACAATCAGAGCTAGATCTCAACTTACTGATCCTTATCTTTTACTCTCCAGCAGCTAGATATCTCTAGATAAATTCAGTTTAAAATGAAATACCTAAAATAACATAACTTTAAATGCCCACGGTTAAATATTCTTAAATGTTACATTGGAATTATTCAGGCTCGTTAATATTAACCCAAAAGAAAAACAAAGCTATAAAATAAGATATTATTGTGGTCAACAAGTGTTTGTGCGGACCCTAGTGATAAGGATACAGAAATGAGCAAGACAGATCTCCTGTCCCAAGGACGCTTATAAAGAATAGTTCATGAAAAGAGTAATGGACTCAAGGTGAGAGACTTACTAGCTATGTTTTCTAAGGCAAATTAAAGATCTGTATAGGATGGTGATTAAGAAGCAGATTCTGGAGCCAGATTTCCTGTGGAGTCAGATTTCCTCTGACTGTGCCATACCCTAGCTGTGGGACCTTGGGATAGTTACTTACTGGCCGTGTGTCTCAGATTCTTAAATGTAATGTGTATTTGCTGTGTTATTTAACTTTGGAATTATACTTTATGGAAGAAGAAAAACAAATGGGATGGATGAAACCCATAAGAAATATATATAAATAGTAAGTACATCATTAATTAATGAGACATGTTGAACAGAATAAATTGACGTAGATATGTTAAACATATTAAAAAGAAGAAACAGATCAGAGTGTTTCTTGTAGATAGAAAGAGATGGAAAGTAAAATAATGCTTAACTACTCATAAAGTACAGATCAGCTTGTGCTACCTCAGGTTGGCCGCCCATTGGTATCCCCCATTCTGGCCCACTTTTCCTGTCCTTAAAGCATACGCTGCGGCTCAGGAAGTCATCAATGAGCTATAGTTGTGGCTGTGCATACTTGCCTCTTCTTCTCTCTGCTAGAGCAAGCATGCATTGGCATCACAAACCTTCCATCTCTGAACTTTCTTGCCTGCCCTCAGCTCTGGTTCTTGCGATCACATCATCCTTAGTGAAGACAGCTGAGGCAAAGAGTCAGCGCATATGAACATTGAGCAACCCATGAGTAGTATGGTCCTCCCACCTGCTTGCACTAAATGTGTTAACCTACCCAATTTCTTTCCCCTTTCTTCTCACTGTATGTTTTAAGTTGATTTAATAAGTCAAGTGATTTGAGCATCTGAATTTGATCTATGAGCCTTTCAGTTCCATGACCTCTGCCACTGCCTGCCTGGTCGTATATTTGAGGCCACCAGTGCATTTCAGACACAATATATAAAATAGAGATGATGATGATGACAATAACAATGATGATGGTGATGATGATAGTGAATACCTTATAGGGTGGTGGTGAATATCAAATCAATTTTACTCAAGTAAGTCACAATTACATAGTCTTTGCAAAGAACACATTGGGGTGGGAACCAGCAATGTATGCAACCATATGTCTCCTGGATTTTCAGTCAGACAATATAATTTATATGCTAAAGACAGAGCATTTTGAGGCAATATCATTTCACCAGTGCCTTAAGGAGGTGCTTGATAAATATCCATTGAATAGATATATTTATGCAAAAAAAATGCTTTTCAATACCTACTATGAGACGCCAGGGATGCAAGAGTGAATAGGCATGTAAATAAAGAAGTTCCATAAGGTGTAATGAGAACCAGTATGGAAACCTACGAGGGTCCCAATGGGGCAATTCTACCTCTGCATGGGAGAAAGTGAAGGGTTTTAAAGCAGTATGAAATTGTGTGGCCAGGAAAGGAGGTGTGGAAATAAAGAAGACATAAAAGTGGGCTGAAGCCAGAGCATCTAGAGTGTGGAACATCATGTGGTGGAGTTTGGATTTTAACCCATTCTATGAAAAG